AGAGATGGAATGCTGCTAAGTCTTCATTTCTTTAAGAATGTGCTTTTTTTTTTTTTTTAACGTGATCTTCTTGGCTTTGATTTTTACAGTTTCTGTTGAAGTCTCCCAAAAGGAAGAGAGTGTTGTTGTGACAAGTTTGGTACTTCCCTGTGGCTTGTATATTCAAAAAATACCGTGGGCTATTTTAGGCAGTGAGCCTGAAACTCCTCATGGATACACACTGTGTTTTAATGGCTACAGAACATATTTTCTACGGCATTCAAGATTTTTTTGGAAACATCTCTGGAACATACCTTCTAAAAATGTCACTGTGTTTACAAATGCAAAAGATAGTACACGTCCACTTCACTTCTTAGTCGTGTGTGTAAATAGCCATGTGTTGGCTCAGCATTACCACCCTCTCTAATTCTGCCATTTCTCAGGTTGGATCAGCTTGGATCTTGCCATGACCAAGGCTTGTGTGCAGAGCAGATGTTCGGAGTGCATTGGTGAAGCGTTTGCTGCAGGGAATGAGCAGCTGGTGCATGGCTTGGTAGACCTGCTGCCTTTGCTCCCACCACCAAAATGCCTGCTCAGAGGGCCAGAGTGTGTGGGTCACTGGGAATGGTGTGGAGTGCTCCCCTCTGCCTGCCCTCCTGTGTGTGTGCTAGCTCCTCAGATGAAAGGATAAATTGTTTGTGTCTTTGCACAGACATCCTGTCAGGCAGCTGACAAGGACTGATAAGGCATTTGTTTCTGCCCTCTTTTGTTTTTTAACCATCTAGCTCCTTTGTTTGATTAGCAGCTGCCAGCAGGGGTGCAAGGAGAAGGGCTCAGCAGTGGCTGCAGAGCCAACCTGGCCTGCAGAAGAAATGTCTGTGGAACTGTGCATGAGTATTTTTAACTGAAGAATTTCCCACACTGTTGTCTGCAGCTGCTGCTGCCCGAGTGGCCACATGTCCTTGTGGTAATTGCCTGACTTATGGCAGTCTTTGGACCAGTGAGACTTGAAGCCAGACACCACTGCACGTGTGACAGGCTCCTGCTACAGCAGCAGACTTGCCAGGGCTGCTGCCTTGGGCTCCTTGGAGCTAGGAGCTGGACAAGGCACAGCACTGTGAGGGAGCAGTGTAGGTATGGACTAGGATTCCTGAGACTTGCCTGCTTACAGAGCTTGTGGATCTTTAGTTATTTAGCTTGTTTCTCATCAGAGAACTGCAAAGTGCCTTTGTCCAGCAAAGCCTGTTTAGGAGCTTTTGTTTAATGAAAAGCTAGATTTGTAAAAGTTCTATGTCATTGCTTATTTGTTTTTTTTTCACTGCCCATGTCTTTTTTTTTTTTTTCCTTTTTTTTTCTTTTTTTTTTTTCTGCTTTTTTCTTTTAATACAATGAGAAATTGCGGCTGGCTTTCTGTAGTTGTGGGTCCTGGGTCCCTGGAGAGACCCTCACTGCAGTCAGAAGGCAGAACGAAGTGAGATGTCCAATGCCCATAGTAAGGCATGTGGCATCAGACAGTGGTGGTGCAGCTGTGCGCTGCAGCAGCCTTTGAACAGAGAGCTCATTGCAGAGCTGGACTTTGAAGTTTGCCGTCCAAAGATAACATCTTTGAAACCTCTCAGGTCAGTGGCTCACAGCCAGCCAGCATCTCACTCTTTGGGACAGAGGCTGTTCTCATATATTTTTGGATAACACCTATTTCATTGCGGCCCATTCTGGAATGTAGCTAATCATAACCAGAGTTACTCTATTTTTTCTTTTTTAAAAACGTGGGGCTGTGGCTGAACAACCTAACCAGCTTTCTGTGGTTTCCATGACTATTCAGAGTGTCTTGAGGAGTGTCTGAAATAAGATGAATGCACTGCAGTTTTTCACAAATACTGTCAACTTATAGGTTACATGCTGACTATCAGAAGCTATCATTAAAGTTTCACTAAATAATGAGAAGCAACGTGCTAGTGAACTACATATGCTATTTAAGTATTTGTTGCTTTAAATAGCAGCTCCTGGGACTGGAGGGCTCCCAGGACTGGAATAGCAGACGCGTCCCTGGACATGGATGAAGTTTCATTGGCAGAGCTCTGTAGAACTTAAGAAAATGATGTTCCACTCTCACTCCTAAAAATGCCAAAGCTGTGTAACTTTTCCATTCTTCAGTATAGTTTTTAATGGTATGCTGAGTACAGCCAGCAGTTGAAATACTTCCTAGATACTTTGGATCTGAATGATACAGACTGAAAGAACCTTCAGTATTAATTTTTTTCTTCTTTTTTTCTTCATAATTTTGAGGTGGATAGGTTATGTTTTTCAGATATATTTTTGTTTTGAAGTACTTTTTTTTCCCAATTGTTTGCTGAATAAATAGATCACCATAGCGTGGTTATTTCTTGAATTTGCAGTTGGTGCAGTAAAAGATAATTTCACTCAGCTGGCATTGTCTTCTCAAAATGTACTTGCCTGATGTGCTTATGCACATTGTGTTTTTAATTAACAACTTTGGTGCCAACATGAGCCCATTCTGCTTATTTCCCACAGCTTAAGTTTCATGTGTTATTGGGAGGATTTCTGTGCCCCAGCAGTGGCAGTTCTAGAAGCTGCTTGCATGGAGGCTGTGTCTTCCCTGGTGTGAGGCGCAGCAGTGAACCCAGAGCAAGGCAGAATGTGTCGTGCTGTCCCCATTTTGCTGTATGAGCCACACAGCTGCTGTGGAGTGAGGCATGGGGATGAGGACAGGAAGTCTGAGCTTGAGTGTTGCAACTGATAGTAGTGATGAGGAAATAGCAAGCTGGAAGTCTTTTAAAGACCTTTCTTTTTTGCCATGATCAGATACTCTGATCAACCAGTCTAGGAGCCAGACTGTGGGGTCGCATGAGAGACACATGTCTGCAAACAAACACATGGGACGCCTGCCGCTCCTGGGCCAGACAGGCTTCACTGCTGAAGGAGAATGTGTCCTAGGAGGAAGGCTGTGTGTCTGTGTGTGTGTGTGTGCCTGGACAACTCAAATGCAGCGTTTGCTGTTTAGAGCATACCCTGATGACAAATAAGTGCATTTTGAAGTCTCTGGCAAGGGCTCATGTCTGCAGCTACTTGCTAGCTAGCAGCGAGATCCTCTGGCCATCTGTGATCCCATGAGAGGGCTGAGGAACTGCAGGGCACGTGTGCCAATGGACAGTACTCTGGGTATTCTTAAGCCCATGACACATCCAGTGCTTGTCCCTATACTGAGTTCTGGCTGCCAACAGCCCCAAATCAGGAGTGCAGGCAAGTGGGGGTGCTTGGATCTGCAGCAGGGCCTGGAAGAGAGGCTCCTTGTGCCTGGGTGCCTGCTGATGTCCAGAAATTCCTGTGGTTGCTTCTGCTGAGAGAAGGACGGGGCTGTATGAAGCTGATGCCTGTTGCAATGAAAGGCCCAGCCAAGGACACTGCTGCCTTATGTACAAAAATAACACATACATTTGTAGTTTTACCTATGACCTCCTAAAGTGGAAGGAAGAGAAGGTGAATCCAGCTGATCTGGAAGTTCATGATACTGTCAACAGCAGGGAAATAATGAGCCCCAAGTGAAATCCTTCACAGGACTTATTCTGTGCCTTGTCCTCTGCTGAATAAAGAAATTATTCTTTATGCTTTTTGGAATCCCTTAGGTTTTTGTCTTGGATGCTCATATAGTTGCAGGAAGAAAGGAAATAAAAACATACACACAATTCCATCTCTCAATGGCATTTAAATACTACAGACAATATTAGCTGAAGTAAGACTTGGTATTTGTCTTGGTATTTGTTTTACTTGTAGCTGTGTTATGCATTCCTTCTAATCTCTTCTTTTTGCAAAGAAGAAAATCACTAATTTAATCTTTGCTAAAACGTTTCTGACCAGCTGTGAGTTTGGATTTCTTCTCTGGCTTTCTTCAGTTCTTCCGTATAAGATTATGCCATTACATTTCAGTCTTTCAGCCTTTTTTTTTTTTTTTTTTTTTTTTGCTTTGTTTGCAGTAAGCAAAGTATTTCAAAGCTTTCTCTACTACAGAGGGTATTTAGAACTGTAAATGTGATTTTTGCTTATTTGTTTTTGTAATTATTACCTGTTTACAGAGTTGTAAGTGCAACCACCCCAAGGTGTTCCTTAAGCAGCTTTTCTTCACCACCTAGATTTGCTTAAAATCTTCAGTAGCTTACAAATTCCTGTAGCAGAATAATGATTCCATGTGTCTACCAGGAATAAGACTTCTTTTAAGAGGGCAGTGTGGTTCCAGTGAACTGAAAAGCATAGAATCCTTAGAGTTAGAAGCATCCTTTGGAGGTCATCTAGTCCTGCAGTGAGCAGGGACACCTACAGTTACATCAGGTTGTCCAGAGCCTGGTTCAGCCTGACCTTGGATGTCTCTAGGGAAGGGGCTTCTAGCACATCTGTAGGTAATCAGTGCCTCACCACCCTCACAGTAAAAGACTTTTTCCTTATATCCAAGCTAAATCTACCCTCTTTAAGTTTGAAATCATTGCCCCTTGGCCTATCACTGCAGACTCTGCTATAGAGTCTGTATAGCTTCTTGTGAAACAAAACCCATCTCCAGCTTGTCCTGGCTACAAAATTCATTGTGTTCTATGTGTTAAAAGCAAACAGATTTTGAGTCTGTGCTCTTCTTCTCCAGATTTGTTTCTTGTGTAAGGGGAATTGTGTACTGCAGGAAGTAGAGGCTGACTGTTGCAGTGCCTGTTCTGCTTGGTGGAATGTGACAAGACTGTGATGTGTGCACAGACAGCAGAGAGTAAGGCGAAGAAATCAGAAGTTATTCTTTCTCGCCCCCATCCTTTGTATGTGGGAAAGCTAGAAACTGGTGTGTTTGGGCCCAAGGATTTGACATAGAGGGCAAGCTACTTCTACTTAAATACTGATGTGCTAAAAAAAGATGACTAAAGAAATTCTGGAGTTTGTAGGAAGTCTCCCAGTTTTGCCATGTGACTGTTGCAGTAGAAACATACTGGTGATAATGGAATGACTTGGATTTTTGTCTTCCTTTCCAGTTGGCCTGCTGCTGTGGTACTGCTGCTTGTTCCTTGTGCTGCAAATGCTGCCCCAAGATAAAGCAGTCAACAAGCACCCGCTTCATGTATGCTCTTTACTTCATCCTGGTGACTATTATCTGCTGTGTCATGATGTCGACGACAGTAGCTAATGAAATGAAAACACACGTAAGTAAGATATGCACTACTGCTTCTGAGGGGAAATGGAGCTCCATCTTTCTATTTTCTCCTCCTGTATGAAAGAACACTTCCTTTTCAGAAAAGGCAGTCCATTCTTTCTACCCACCCATTTCCAAACCCAGACCAATACACTCCGAGTGTATTTCACAACAGCAAGAGTCAGGGATCGTGGAAGTAGTGGCCTGCCTTCTCTTTTGTTGTAGGGAAACCCACTACTATAAATTCATCCCAAGTTTGCTGTGTAGGTAGTTTCAACACATCTTGTAGTAGAATAAATTGCTTTAGTCTGATGTTGAGTTTCTTTGGTAGCTTGCTAAGTAGTAGAAGAAGCAGCTAGAAAGCAGCACTTTGAGAATTGTGTTTATAATACTAATTCTGTGTCCTTTGTGTTATGTGACACACTACTACTACAAAGCACAATGCTGCAAATCCTGTGTAGTGCATTTTCTTCCACATGTGTTGACTCATCATGTTCACATGGCCTCTAACTACAGCAGACATTGTTCAGTTCTAATTGTCTTTTTAATTAAAAAGCTTCAAAAGCATAAAAGGAGCTATGGCTAAAACTAGATTATAAAATTCAAATTTCTTTCAGAATCCTAATATATAACTTTCCTGAGATCAGATGCCAGACCTGTTGTATTTCATCTTTGGTTTCATTTCGTAAGCCACTTAATTTGCTCTTAGTAGCATAAATTCTTTCTCTCACTCTACAAGCTACAGGAAAATAAGTCTGTTTTTAAGTAGAGAAAAACAATGGCCGGACCATTTACATTTTAAAAATTAAGCAATGTGGGACTGAAACTTTCCTGCCCTGAGCTTCAGGCCTGCTTTGAGGCTGTCACTGTACTCACCCTGAAGATTCAGAGTACTTCAGTTGCTCTGAGCATCTAGTTCTCTATATTCTTTCCCAAAGAGAGAGTCCCAGAGGGAGCATGGTGATGGTCATTTTCTTGTTTTACTGACTGTTGTCTGAGTTGGTGCCCTACTTAACTTCTGTCCCTGGCTTTTAGTTAGCGTGAAAACCATCCCTCTGAGGCAGCCTGGGCCAGAAGCTGGTGGTAACATCCTCTAACTGAAAGAAAGGTGAAACAACAGGATTACATACGGCTATCTTGAGGGTTTGGTGCCAGCGATCTTTACCCCATTATGCCCTTTTTGTACATTTTGTCCTAACTTTCTTTAGTATTGCTTTGCTTGGATTATCACAATGCTGCCTTCTTACCTCTGGTCACCAGAACTTGCAGTCAGATCTGTAAGAGTGCCTACTACAGACACTGAGATGTGACTGTGAGCTGCACCTCAAAAGCTTTTTAACATGATGCTGAAGTTTCTTGCCAGGACTTACTTTGACTTAGTGGAAGCTTAGATTGGCAATAAAGTGAATAATCCAAGGAACTGAAGCATATGGAAGACAAATTATATGCTAATAGGTATCCAAATTTCATAAAATCACTTTTCCATGAGTAGTGTGGTTTTGATGCTGTTTGTATTCCTAATAAAGAAAACTGTCTCCCTGTCCAACAGAAAAGTGATTCAAGCAGGCTTCAACAGCGTGCTTTTCAGTCTTGCCAAATTCCTTTTCCAGTTTGTAGTCTTTAAAGCTCAGTGTAGGAAGAAATGGCATGAAAAGTAGCTGTTAGTGTGAAGTAGAAAGATAATTACCATCTTAATTTAGAGCACTTGATGACTTTGAATAGGAAATTGACCATCTGAAAGTAGTCTTTCTCCTCTCTAATTTAATAATTCTGGGCTGTTCAGACTCTTGAAACTAACTCAAGCCTGTTCTAGTAAAGTGCACCTTCAAAATATTTGTCCAGACAAACTGGTCTTGGCTTCCCAAAGATGAACTGTGTTTTGAAAGCACAGGGCACTTAATGATTCCTTTGCTTTTGGCTGGATCACAGAGTATTCTTAAATCCTGAAGCCAGTCTGTAAGCAAATACTTTGCAGAATGCTTTTAGGACCTTGCGCTCTTTTTCATGAAAGGGACATCATTTTATTTCATTTTAACTAGATTTGTTTATTTTTCTCTGTTAAAAAATATTTAAAATTTCAGTGCAGTCCTTTATGAAGCCATCACATTGCCAGGAAGCCATGAGTCTGCTTTACCAATTTAGAAATCAAATAATCACACTGATGTTACATGAAAGGAATCTCACCTTTATCGGTTTAGATATCTAATAGTTGCACTGATGTTATGAGAAAGGAATCTCAGCTTGTTAGTGAAGAAATTTTGATTGTTTTGTTGGTTGGTTACAAATTCCCAAGCCGGAAATAGATCTCAAAGTATTGTAGCCCAGTAGCCTTTGTATCTTTGAAGTTATTTTGAGAGGAAACAACAGCAGTGTACATCTTTTATGGACACCATAAAGAGACTTTTAAAAACGTTTGTTTTAAAATAATTCATTTGCCTCCAATGTCATGCCTTCAGTCTATCAATGTATGTTTCAGACAGGATTTTTAGTTCCTGAGTTGTCAAATTCTGCAGGTGCCAGCCCAGCGTTGGGAACCTGCTCAAGTAGAGTATACATGATTTCTTTTTGGTATGTTTTTCTCTGTTCTTTTCATCCTTCCTTTTTATCTGATCTGTTCCTGTGCCCATGAGACACAAAGGGAGAGAGACTGGAAGAGTTAAATTCTGAAAAATGTGCAGAGAAACCATGGTGTTTATCTTTGATCTCTGGGGAGGAAGCAAGAAGCAATGGTGAGGGAGTGGATAGGGAGTGAAACAAATAGGGAGGGAGTGGTTTGCTGTGGAGAATAGTTTGAACTGTAGCAAGTAGGATAGATTTCAAAGGAGCAAGGTTGTGTGTATCAAGGTGAAAGGTGGGATACAGCATCAAGATGTGAAAACTTTAACAATGTGGACAGGAACAGGACAGGAACGCCTGGTGACAATAAAGTTATACAAGTTGGTTTTAAAATTTGACTTTGGTCCAAGAGGAAGCAAAGCAGGACTCAACTTGAAGGAAGGCTTCTGTGATCCGTGTATATATTTTTCCAGTTATTCTGGTGAGAACCAGCTATAGCTTTATACTGGCAAACATTCTGTTGAAGCATGGCCTTGCATTTCATAGGCTTTGAAATGATGGTTGATGCAAAAGGAGATAATGTTTGGTTTGTCAAAAAACTGTTAATTTTTAAAAAAATTTATGTATTTCTTAATGTCAAAGCAGTTTCAAAACTACTGGTTTCATCCTGAAAGTACCCATGTCCTTCTTAAATAATTAAACAAGAGTCAGAAGGAGGATTTCAGGAAAACAAATGTTTGCGAAAACCAATTCATTATTGCCAAAGCATTTCAGTTCTGAATGGTTACATATTCTGGTAGAGCATATTTTCAGGCTCATTTCCCCAGGCATAACTGCATTACAGTTTGTTAAAATGTAAATTTGCGACCAAACTCAAGTTTTTAAATTAAGCTGCCGTTGCCTATTTCTGACAAGTATTAAGCTGGCAAGCTTATGCATGTTTTGATCACACTGTTTGTTTTTTTTCACTCCAAATATCACCTGTTCAAGACAAGGGATTTTACCTGTGTTTTTTCCTTTAGTTTCACCACTAACAAAGATTTTCTTGTATACTTTCTCCATTTTCATAACAAATTTCATCTGCCACATTCTCCCTCTATTGGATGGAGGCATGTACTGCAGGTTTCTTTGGCTCTTAAGGCCCTTTGTTCTCACATGTCCAAGGGTTCCCAACATTCTCACACTCATGATGTTGGGCACAAATATGTTCAGGCTTGGAGGTGGCCCAAATGCAGCTGACTTGAGCCTGGGCAAAGCAGAGCTACACCAGCTTGCTGCCACATCACAGTTAGTTAAGATGCCAGCAGCTTGACCTGATAGGAAAGCAAATTCAGGGCAGTCTGAACTTGTTCTTCAGATGTTTCTGCTCCAAGTAGTCTAATCTTTTTCTCATAATCATTGCCATTGTCTCAAAGGGTTTCAATTCACTTAAAAAAATTACCAATTTAACGATGTCTTTGTACATCGCAGAATCACAGAATGACCAGGGTTGGAAAGGACCTCAAGGATCATGAATCTATAATCCCCCTGCCACATGCAGGGCCACCAACCTCCCCTTTTCACAGAATCACAGAATTGTAGGGGTTGGAAGGGACCTCCAGAGATCATCGAGTCCAACCCCCTGCCAAAGCAGGTTCCCTACAGCAGGTCGCACAGGTAGGCATCCAGGCAGGTCTTGAACATCTCCAGAGAAGGAGACTCCACCACCTCCCTGGGCAGCCTGTTCCAGTGCTCCGTCACCTCACTGTAAAGAAGCTCTTGCACACATTGCTGCAGAACTTCCTATGCTGCAGTTTCCGGCCGTTTCCCCTTGTCCTGTCTCCACTCACCACTGAAAAGAGTCCGGCCTCGCCATTCTGCCCCCCACACCTCAGATATTTATAGACCTGGATCAGGTCCCCTCTCAGTCTCCTTTTCTCAAGGCTGAACAGACCCAGTTCACTCAGCCTTTCTTCATAGGAGAGATGCTCCAGGCCCTTCACCATCTTTGTTGCCCTCCGCTGGACTCTTTGCAAGAGATCCCTGTCTTTTTTGTACTGGGGAGCCCAGAACTGGATGCAGTACTCCAGATGAGGTCTTACCAGGGCAGAGTAGATTTTAATACTTTTAATACTTTTAATGCTAGACCAGGCTGCCCAGGGCCCCTTCCAACCTGGCCTTGAACACCTGTTGGGACGGGGCATCCACAGCCTCTTGGGCAGCCTGTTCCAGCATCTCACCACTCTCTCTGTAAAGAACTTCCCCTGACATCCAACTTAAATCTTCCCTCCCTCAACTTAAAACCATTTCCCCTTGTCCAGCTGTTATCAACCCTTTGAAAGGGTTGATTCCTCTCCTGTTGGTAGTTTCCCTTTAGGTATTGAAAAGCTGCAATGAGGTCACCCCGCAGCCTTCTTTTCTCCAGGCTGGACAAGCCCAGCTCCCTCAGCCTGTCGTCATAGGGGAGATGCTCCAGTTTGCTGATCATCTTCGTGGCTCTCCTCTGGACCCTCTCCAACAGCTCCCTGTCTTTCTTGTACTGGGGGCTCCAGACCATCACACAGCACTGCAGATTAGGCCTCACAAGAGCAGAGTAGAGGGGGACAATCACCTCCCTGTCCTTTCTGGCCACCCCTCTTCTGATGGAGCTCAGGATACCATTTGCTTTCCGAGCTGTTGCTCTTCATCCATCAAGATGATCAACCCCAGGTCCTTCTCCACAGGGCTGCTCTCAAGAACTGTTCGTCCAGTCTGTATGGATGCCTGGGATTCCTTCGGCCCAAGTGTAAGACCTTGCACTTTGCCATGTTGAACCTCATCAGGTTTGCCCTGGCCCACCTTTCTAGCCTGTTGAGGTCCCTCTGCATGGCATCCCTTCCTTCCACCATGTCAACTGCACCACTCAGCTTGGTGTCATCAGCAAAGTTGCTGAGGGTGCACTCGATTCCATCGTTGATGTCATTGATAAAGATGTTGAAGAGCACAAGTCCCAAGACAGACTCCTGGGGGACGCTGCCCGTTACCAGCCTCCATCTGGACATAGAGCCATTGATGACCACCCTCTGTCTGTGGCTTTTTAACCAGTTTCTTATCTCTCGGGTGGTCCACCCACCAAATCCACATCCCTCCAATTTGGAGATAAGGATGTGGTGGGGGACCATGTTAAAGGCCTTGCTCAAGTCCAGGTGAATGATATTGGTCACCTTCCCCTTGTCCACCAATTGCCACCAGATTGGTTAAGCATGGCCTTCCCCTGGTGCCGTGCCGATTCCTCATGTGATCAAGCAAGTCATCCAGGAGGATCTGTTCCATAATCTTCCAAGGCACAGAGGTGAGATTCACCAGCCTGCAGTTCCCTGAGTTCTTCTTGCTCTCTTTCTTGTAAATGGGAGTGACGTGACCCTTCCTCCAGTCATCCAGGACCTCACCTGACAGCCACGAATTCTCAAAAATGATGGAGAGCGGCTCAGCAACAACCTCAGCCAGCTCCTTCAGAACCCTGGGATGCACGCCATCCAGCCCCATAGCCCTGTACACATGCAGTCTCATGAGGTGGTCTCAGACTCGCTCTGTCCTCATGTGGGGGGGAATTTTCCACCCCTGTTCCCACCTAGAGGTTTAGGTTTGCAGGGCTCAGGGACATGAGAAATACTGGAATCCTGGCTGCCAGTGAAGACCAAGGCAAAGAACTTATTCAGTACCTCAGCCTTCTCTTCAAAGCAGCACATGCAGCTATACGTGCAGTTATCCAAGAAGAGTCTGAGTTTTTGCAATGTCCCCTACTCAGAGGCCAGGGAATTAGCTTATGGTACTTGTAAAGGGAGGAAGGTAGGTACTTCATCAAGCTTGGCTAAGTAATCCATGCCTCCAATAGCCAGCAAAACTATCCAGCGAAAGGAAAACATAATTAAAAACTTGGTTGGACAAGCTGCTTGCAGCTGAGTGTATTTCAGAGATAAAATTTCAAAACAAGAATTGTCTTTTTAAGCCTTCAGTGATTAAGAACACCTGTAAGGCTTTATAAGTTGTTCACAGCAGTACTTCATCTTGTTGTGAAAAGATGCCCTTTTCATTACATCAACCCTTTTGTCCCCAGCAGTGTACTCATGTTCATTATCTGCAAGGATCCCCAAGTGTTTGGTTTTGTTCTTGATTTGTTACTTCAGGATCACTGGTCTCTGAAAAAGATGTTTAATTGCACAGAGGTGTTCCTGGCCATCATTTATCAGTATATAATGTTGTGCATCCTACATAGTGTTGAGGTCTTTGTTGCTCGTGTAGGCGCAAAGTAAGCTGTTGTTCTTGTGAATCCATCCATTTTCTCTCAGCCTGATCTGTAAGGAAATTACTGCAACAAACAGAAAAAAACATAGAGGGTCAAGAATTCCATCAAGACGTCAGTAGAATTCCACGCAATAAGCTATTTATAGCTACCTAGAGATCTGTTTTTAACTGACTAGCTAATTAGTCAAGCGTCTTGGTGTTTTTCTTGTTTTAAAACTCAGAATGCTATTTGGTACCAAGTCTAGATCTAACAGAAACTCTGTATAAACAGTATGATCATCTATATAGAAAGAAACCTTTGATTTTTCTCAGAAATAATGTTCAGTACCATGCTGATGGATGGCAATTACAAGCAAAGGATTGTGAGGTTAGCCATCAACCCACTTGCTTTCCCTGTTGTTGCTGTGGCCCCTGGCTTGCCCTGGCAATGATGTGGTATTGATAGGTCTCATAATTATTCCATTCAGTCCATGTGCTCATTTGGAATGCTGGCACATTCAGCCAGTTTGTCGTTTCATTGCTTTTCAAGACTTAAGAAAAGGCACTGCTGATGCCCCGCACATTTTCTTACTAGCCCTCTAAATTTTTTGTATGTGAGTTGTGCCACAAATACTTATTTACTGTGTAATTTCTCAAGCCCTGGCTACTTGTTCGAGTCGTTTCTGAAAGAGCTTCTCAGGGTGGCACAGCTTGAACTCATTTCTGTAATGCTGGGCAGCTGTGCCGAAACCTGCTTTTCATCTCCTTCTGATTGTAGCCCACCTAGGATTAGCTCAGTGTCGTGGTTTGGCTTTCCTGTGCTGCACTTAGCAATAATTTAACTATGTGTTGCCTTGAGCTACTGAAATACTTCCTTTGGGGAAATTGCTAAAAAGAGTGTTGACTGTTTTGGGTTACTGAATGCAATTGAAACTTGTGCAGCATGCATTGTGGAAAGCCTTGCAGCTGGAAGGTGAGAGCTTATGTGTTAATCTTATATTTCCTGCATTTTGGATGGCTCTCTACCCAGCTGGGAACGCTGCCTGATCCCTTTCTGTTAAGTCCTGTTTGTACTTCCATGTCCTGTTTTTGTAGGCTTACTAGTCTGCTGAAAGAAGTAGACACGGGCACTTCTTTCTTGGAAATGTTCAAGGATGGTGTTACCCACAATCTTTGCATGTCTTTCTCTCAGAAAATCATCCTGGCTTGATTCTTCCCACATCTGATTCCCATTTCATCTGCTTGATTTATTTGTACAGTGTTTTGTCCTAGCAGGTGTTGTTTCCTGATTTTGTCAGTTACCCATGCAGATAGCAGTGACCAGCTCTGAAGGTTTTGATGGGTTGCTTGATTTGTCTTGCTAGCCGTAGCTGAGCACTTTGTGCATACAGAGAGGCCGTTCTTCCTTTGAAATAGCTGGTGGTTTTCTAATTAAATGCTTCTACTTCTGCACAACTCCTTGGCTGTGAGAAGGCAGGGGTTGATCTCCACTAAGGCACCACACAGGAGTCAGTCCTGTCCACAAAGTCCTGCTTTCTGGGCACTCAGAGTCATGTCTACCTGGTGAAACCATGGCCAAAGTGTGTGGCAGTTTACATTCCCCTTACAGCCAAGCACAAAGACTCAAGAGCAAATATTTGACCAGTCAAGAAGAAAGTGGAATTTTCCTCCCTGTTAATTTAACATAAAATCAGGGTAACTGGCACAACTCCCTTTCAGAAACTGTAATGCAAGAGAGGGAACTTATTTCCATATTGCTTGGGTGTGCTGGCAGCATGAGGCAGAGCTTCCTCCCCTGTTTGTGGCCCCTTTGGCTGGTGAAAATGCCAATATGGCTTTGTGTAAGCTGGATTACTGAAACAGAGTCTGTTGTTGTAAAACATGGGAAGAAGAGAGAGGGTCCCACAGCGGGTGAATAAGTATTAAGGGATTGCGATGACTAAGGCCAACATCTGAAGGAAAGTGAGGTGGGCTTGTACACCAAACCCATCTGGAAGTAGATGACAGTTGAGGTCCTGGAAAGCTCTAAATTGTCTTTTATACTGTCCTATATCCCTTGAACTGTCAAATCCAGGCTGAGGGGTATCAGCAAAAGGTATCAACGAATGCTGTCAGTGTTAAATGAAGAAGTGAAAAGTCAGTGGTGCGCCAGTTTATGAAGGTGTAGTTGTGAGGTGCTCTATGTGCTAACAGCTTGTAATGTGTTTCATTTTCCAGTTTCCCTTCTATGAACAGATGTGCAAGGGCATTCAGGCGGGTGAGATGTGTGAGAAGTTGGTGGGATACTCTGCGGTGTACAAAGTCTGTTTTGGAATGGCCTGTTTCTTCTTTTTCTTCTGCTTGTTTACCATCAAAATTAACAACAGCAAAAGCTGCCGAGCGTATGTTCATAATGGGTGAGTATTTGTTTAATTTCCACTCTTTTTTTAGATTTGTGTTGCTTACTTTCCAATTGAGTGTAGTACGAGGCAAAAAGCAAGAGAAAAAAAAGGTTGATTTCACTGCTTTTGTTGGGTATAAAGCAGCCAAGGGCAAAGAACAGCAGCCAATCAACAAAGGTGGTTGTTTGTCTCGCTGGGTTAGACATTTTTCATAATACTTGATCTGAAGACCTCTAATTCCTATTGTAACCAGATGATTTCTTTTGTTTTCTCTCATCCAGATTCTGGTTTTTAAAGCTTCTGCTTCTGGCAGGAATGTGCTCAGGAGCGTTCTTCATTCCTGATCAGGACACTTTCCTCAATGGTACATCCTTCTCATTTTGTAATGCTGCTTTATTCTGTACTGCCTTGAGGGTGGTTATAAATCCTGAAAGCCTGCTCAGTGTGAGCATGGCTGTATTTCTTCAAGTAAATCCAGTGTAGTCCAGGAGAAAAAGAATATTTGAAACTGTATGGGGGTGACCACACACAGTAACCTCTCATTGTTGGTGCTAGCCACAAGGAGACCAAGTGGGCTAGTAAAATACTACTGTGGAGCTGTTGTGCAAATTCTTCAAGAAGCAGAGACTGCAATAATGAAGAAGAAATTGTTCACTTGAGAGCATAGAGTTCTGTATAAGTTAGTTCTGTGCAAATAGCTCTGTGTAGCACAGCGGCTGGAGACTATGATGTGTGATAAAGAAGTGCCATCAGGGACAGGGTGACCTTCCGCCTGCAGGCGCTGGCTGCCTGGAAGCATGCAGTGCCATAAAATAATGTATGATGTCACAAGCTTTCAGGCTGATTGTGTAGATGCTATTATAATAAGTAGATAATAATGTAAAACTAGGCTTCTTGCAGCCTGTACAAGCATGCTGCTAGGAGTGCTGTGCCCAATGCATTTCTAGTTCTGGAAGACATCCTGGTGCAACTTGGGCCTGCTAGTACTGGTCAAGTGCTTCAGTACCACCTCTGTGGGGTACACCAGGGGCCTGGTGGGCTGGCAGCAGCAGTCCTGGTGATGACACCAAGGTGAGTTTGTGCTTTTTGGTATGCCAAGCGCATGTAGGCCCTTAAAGTGTCGAGTCTGGGCAGTTACTGCCTCTGAAGCACACTGGATATTGTGTGCTTTCAGCTCCCCCATCTTTTAACTAGCCAGGGTGTTTATAATAGAGTGAAAGGAAAGAGTAATGCTGGGGGCAAAGTGTACACTGGACAGACATACTATGAACATGCCAATCTGGGAATCTAAGGTAAAAATCACTCCAGGTAAGCCACAGGGAGGCTTATTTCAACTTCTTGTTCTTACTGGCTGTGTATGTCTGGTCCTAGTTCAGTCTGGTGCCTCATAGGTGAAGGGATCCTTACCCATATTCCTTCTCTTCCTACAAAGTCACATGCTGGCTGTGTGAGATTGTCATTAGTTTTTAATCACTGCTTGGTTTAGGTGATAAAATGTATTACACCCACAAGCGAGCAGGACACCCTGTCGTCTGTTGAATAATCTTTTCCATGGCAAAAAGTCATCAAGAAGTATTTGGGGAAGAAGTGAAGCAATTTTTTTTTTTGTGTTGGTGGGAACTACAATGTAACTTGGTTTGGAAACACAGCGTAACAAGCTCTCATCCCCACGTTACTTTTTGGCTTTTCTCTGTAAGGCAGCGTCTTACATATCCTGTTCAACTATTCTACAGGAAGCTCCTGAGGAAGTTCCCAAATCACAGATACACAAAGGGTCTTAGCATTGTCTGGTTCTGTTTTCCCTCTTTTTTGTTGTTGTTGTTATTAGCTATCAAGAAACATACAGCTTTTTTTTTCTAAAAAATGTGGAATGTTCTTCACATGTGTAGGGTTTTAATTACGAATGAGGGGCACTATGTGCAAACACTACATCTGTGGGAGTTGTAGCATTAAATCTGCACTGCCTGCCAACCTTGTCTATGATAGCTCCATAAAGCATGCCCCAGTGTCCTGCCTGTGACAGTAAGAGATTGTTATTGAGAGTCTCGCTATTTAGTTACTTGCTGCATTGGTGGTCTGCTTTTTCCTTCAGTACTTCTTCTAAGTATGTTTTATTTTAATGTGGTGGTGTTTTTTTTTTTTTATTTTTTATTTTTTCCACGCTTGTTTGTTTAATTTTCTTCTTGATTGTTTGGTATTGCTCATAGGAGATTTGTTGTCCAAAGTATTCAAGCAGTTACCCACATACAGTATAGTAGGTCAGTGGTTAAGTAGTCAAATAACCTGTCTTAAAACTAGTTGATAAATAGCTAGTGTTCTTGTTCCTTTGGGAGTGGCTCAGGACAACATTTGTAAATAGATGAGCCATGCCTTCATTTTCCAGTGGTACTGGAATCAGGGGAAGTAGTTGCCCTTTTTAGCACTGTATTCTAGTACCTTGCAATTTTAGGGTTTAGGCTTCAGGAAAATGCTGTCAGGACTCCTCCACCCCTACCAGTCGCAAATAAAAGTTTCAGTATTTTCTGTCTGATTATAGTAACCTTGTGTGTGGAAAAAAATCTGGGCTAGGGAGTCTCAGTAACTGTCGTAACAGGCTTCTTCTGAGTGTGTAATAGCTTGCAAGATGAGTTCAACAGGGAGCTTCTTGAGATAATCTTGAGCTGGCCTTTTGGCTAAAACCTCTCATTGAGGTATTTAAACTGTGTATTGTCTTCACCTCGTAGACAACAATTTCATCTTATCTTGGGGAAAAGGTGGCTACAATTCTGACCAATTTTCTGTTTCTCTGCCCTTGCAGCCTGGCGCTATGTAGGAGCAGCAGGAGGTTTCCTTTTCATTGCCATTCAACTCATCTTGCTTGTTGAGTTTGCACACAAATGGAATAAAAATTGGTATGTGTTGCACAAATAGTTTTTTATATATAATATAATATAGTATGCAATATATTATTATTCTCTACTATATATATATAGATTACATAAAATGTAATATATACTATATAATATTATAATATACAATATTATGATGGCCTCCTGAACAACATATCCCTTGGAATAAGGGAAATGAAGCATTTGGAAGTGGTATAAATGTTGACATTTAGAACTGTGCATCTTTCTTCATCCAGTTTTGTCTTTTCCCAAAGGAAATGTTTCCTCCTTATTCTACTCTGTGCTGATATGTTCTTAACCTCAATCACTCTGCTTCCAAAAAATAGTAGCATATTGGGATGCAAACACTTTGTTTTAAGCTGTTCAGTTCTCTGTGGAAATACACTTGCTAGAAAACAGAGTGCTGCAAGAGAGTAAAACAGGATTTGCAGAGTGTAGCAGTGAAACTGTATGGAGTGGTACAAACTGGTAAATCCGGTTGTTGTTTTTTTTTTTTTTTGTATCAGCATAATGCACATTGCATGATTTATTTAGTTATTTATGTATTTTTGGTTGTGAGAACTGCTGCTTTCTCTAACTTCATTGTTTTCATCTAAACATGCAAGATTCCATTGTCAACACACATATACTATGTTTTGGCGTGACTTAATTTCAGTTTGATATTATGGTTCCAGTCTTTAGCCTCTGCTTATGGATTAAAATACTTAAGTTGTATTCCTGTGTATATACAGGAACTTTCACTGCCTCCTCTGTACTTTTCTGTATTCCATTTTTTCCACTACAACCCTTGCTGTATTCTCTTGTCCTAGTTAGCATGTTGACTGCTAAGAAGGGTTTTAGCAAACCTTTCTTAGATATCTATTTTCATGGAGGAAGAGTTAAGGTCTTACATGGCAGATATTTTTACAGCTAATTACAACAGCTGCTTTTCTTTGTAGCAGCATTTACCATTAGCACTTTCTACAATAGATGTTCATTTCCACTGATAAAAAAGCACTAATGCTAAGGAAAATTTCCTTCAATTTCATGGATGGAACCTAGTAGAGGCTTCTGTTAGTGTGCTGATATACACACATTTCAAGAACATAAGCATTGTCTTTTGTGGTTGATGACATGAACTATTCAACTATTAGAACTTTATTTTTTGGGAGATGAAGTAAGGCATTTGTCTCTCTTCCCAGGACTGCAAGTGCAAATCACAAGCAGATGTGGAGTGGTTTGCTCGCCCTGGTCACACTCATCTTGTACTCTGTTGCTGTGGCAGCCCTGGTCCTCATGGCTCTTTTCTACACACGTTCAGAGGGCTGCTTGTCTAACAAGATCCTGATAGGTGTCAATGGTGGCCTGTGCCTCTTTGTGTCACTGGTAGCCATATCACCTTGCGTCCAGAATCGTGAGTGCTGACCTCCTGCTCCTTTCTAGCGCTGCTGAAGTTGCACGCCTTGAGGCATGATAGTTCAGAGCTATTGCTGTTCTTAGCCCTGTCTCCTTATCAACACTGTGCTGTGCTGTTGTTGCTTACCAGTTCAGCTGCTAAAACTACAGAGATGTATGATGCTTTGGGTACACCATCAAGCACCTAGAGTGTAAAGAATGCTCCTGTGCCAATGGCTGATAAGGTGTAGAGGAGTTTACATAGCACTTGTAACATTAGCAGTTGAGGCAATGGCAGTAATGCTCTGTCACCTCTATTTTAGCATTTGCTTTTGGCTGCTTGCAATTTACCATCTGTAAAGTTTGAGCCTGAAGTAGTTGACAGAAGTATTTCATTCTTCTCTGGTACGTTCAATGTATGCTGTTAATATCTTGCATTTATTGGACCTGGAAGTAGTAATTTAAGTGTCTCCAAAACAAGTTTTTGTGGGCAAATAAATCTATCGTGGAAGCCTGTAAATAGCATTTTGGAAAGTTGGTGCTTTTGGCAAGACCAAAGAGATGATTCATTTCTTATGTGGGAATCTTTAATGCCATTTTAAAACAGCCAGCAGAACTAAACAGCAAACTCTTTTCATTTGCTGGAGGAAACATATCTAAACTTATAAACTGCTTTAAATAAAAAATAAATAATATTCCCCTCTTTTGAAAGACAGTAATGTGCTTGCTATTTTTTAAGGGATGTGAATTTATTTTTCAGATTGTTAGAATATCTACAAAAATGATCTTTTATTCTCTTTCTTCTAAAGGCCAGCCCCATTCTGGTTTGCTGCAGTCAGGAGTAATCAGCTGCTATGTCATGTACCTCACTTTCTCAGCACTATCCAGCAAGCCCCCAGAAACCAGTAAGTGCTTCATGTAAATCCCTTCAGACAAACCATGTGTTAAAATCAAGGAGGCCTTTAGGAAAGCTTAGCACTGAGGAACGTAGGAGTGCTGGTTTTTATCTGCTCTGCCCTGTACAAAAGAAACTGTAGATAATACATTTGGGCAGCGTTTGAGAGACTGTAAATGCTCTCCCTGTATTGTCAATGCTTTGGTCCAGGGGAGCATAACAGAGTTTTTGGATTGCATCTGTTGCATGAGAGTCATTCTGGTTTGTTTTCTACTGATAAATTTCCCAGAGTCCTGGAGTCCATTGATGTGGCAAATGCTTGTGCTCATATAATAGGATGTAACTAAATATGCAATATCTTTGGTGATGTGATAGGAAAAAAGTTGGGACGGAGGCTCTTAAGTACCCCTACATGAGGTCAGGTCATCAGCTCAACCCCAAAGTTTACTAGATCCACACCAGTTTATAGGTGCCTTGCACCCAAGTGGCTTTGTTCTATTTTGCTGTGCTGGTGATTGGAGTGGATCCTTTGTTTCTCCTAGAATTATTACAGTAGACAGCCTTTGCTATCCAATTGAACAAAAACTTGAGTATTGTTCATCTTTGATTTTGAAAAGAAACATTCTGAGTAAAGACCTGGTGTTATGCCATAGTTGTTTGAAGTCATGCTGTTCTTCAGCTGAGTTCCTGTAGTCTACCATTCTAACTATGTCCCTTATGCTGCAAAAACACAGCAAGACTTTATAATGAATCAAGGAGACAATGTATAGCCTTGCTTAAACAAGGCCCCGTAGCTTGCACAAGCAGATAAATCTAGGAAGGAACACAGAAACCATAGGAACATGAGGTTCCAAGAAGATAAGTAGAGTTGCTGTTTGCAACTCAGTGAAGGATCTTCTGAAGTGATAAGGAGATGCTGTTTTAGAGCAGGGTGAAGGGCCCAGTGAAGATAAGCAGAGTTGTTGTTTGCTCAACTCAGTGGGGAGGGTCCCTTGAAGATAAGGAGACAGGGTTGCTGTTGTGACGCAATGCAACCTCCCTAAAAGTTACAAGTTCCCAGTGAGGAAGGCTTTGTGAGGATGACTAATAGCCTTCATCCAACGACCACCAGATGGGGCCCAGAGACCCTCCTCACATTTTAGGATGCATGCTCAGAAGGGTGGGACAACATGGTGAAAAGTTCTTCTAAATTCAGTGCATATGTAACCAATTTCTCTGAAATGTAATGAATATGTATACACTGTGCCTATAAATGTGTAGCTGCCTCTTTCCTTGCTGGGCATGTTTGGTGGATCCCTCATGCACTCAGCGCTGTATTAAAGGAATTCCTGCTTGACATAACTCATGGCATGTCAAATTACTGTTGGATTTCTCAGCATCACCATGCTCTTCTCAACCTGTTTCTTCTTCCCATTTAACAATTAGAATCACCTGTTTGGATGGGTAATATTCTTTTCATTTACACAAGACTTGTCTGGATTCAGATCATTAATGAAAAAAAAACACTATTATTGTTCAGCGTTTAATACTGAAAAGCTAAAGCAGTGATAGCTAGAAGCTCAGTGGCAGAAATGAGAAGTTTTACAGTCACTTGCCCAGAGGGAAAATGAAAGAGAGGGGAAGAATCTCTCGCACTTGTGTAGACACAAGCACATAACACAAACATATTCCAGAGCTAAGAACAAAAACCAGACTGTTTTGGTGGAAGATATATCTAATAATGTAAGCAGTGTTTTTGAATGAGTATAGAAATTGGGTTAGATGTCATCTGAATTATTCATAAGATTTGACACTGTCCTAGAAAAGAAAGGGAAGAAAGAGATGTATGATATTAAATCATTAGTTTTGTGTTATCTCATGCTTGTGACAATCAGAGCTTTTAGCAGGTTAAGGAATGAGTGCTCTGATTCTTCTGGTACGCATTGCAAGTGTGGTTATTATGTTTGGCAGAGTTTGCATCAGGCATGCTCTTTCAGACTCCCTGAATCAGATGTTCCTCATTGTGTTCATCCCAGTCTTTGTCAAACTAACTCTCATAATGGCTTGTGGAGCTTTTGCAATGGCACATGCTGGAGCTGACACAGTAAGATGTCCTGTACCACGTCACTCAGATTTGCCATACACTGATTTAATGCTGACACATTCATTGAGCAGAGGCCTACAATTCAGCCATAGTGCAAACCAGACCTGAAGAAAATGCACATCACAAATACTTGTTTGCAACATAGAGCATGGTTGCAGATGTCAGAAGTAAAAGACAAACAAAAGGAAATGTCCATTGAACTTCTGTTTATCACAGCCTTTGGTGCCAAACTGAGCTAGAAGGCATGCCAAACAGTAATCTACCTTGTTGCTGCAACCATGATGGATGCAGGTGGGGGATCCTGCACATCTCTTGCCAACATATTCCCTAAAGGTTGTCTTCCCTTCCTTGCTCCTGGTGTGGTTTTGTTCCTGTCATCTGCTGATAATGATCTTATGCAGCCCTACATGGAACCAGGTCAGGGAACTGACTTTTGAGTTTATTTTTAACCTGCATGTAGCCTTTGCTGCGTTTTGCCCTCTGGCCTTCCAAATAGTTCTGCTGCCGCACTGGAGAAGGAAAGGGGAGATGGGAACACAGTTTGCTTGGAAGGGCATTGGCACGAAATCTCTTGAGATAAGATGCAGCTGTGATCAGATGCTTTTAGGGTTATGCTGCAGACTGTTGCTATGCTTTGACTCAAAGCAGGTGTTGGAAATATCCAAATAATTTATCAGGACAGTATCTCTGATTATTTGCAGTTGCAATGGCAGGCCTCCTGCCAGCAGGAGAGCACACAAAAAACAGGGTTACATCTTTTATCCCCCATTGCCTGACACTGATCTCTTTCTCCCCTGGTTCCTCATTGGCTGAGTACTGTAGGTTCACACTCTTTTGCGATGCTTCACTAATCTTACAAATACCAAGTAGACACCAATCCTTGCCTCCCAAACACAAATATCTTAATTGGTTAAATGCCTTCTAACAATTGCTTTCTTAACAAACAGCTGGTGATAACTTTCAGATGCCTGCTTTACAAGATAAACATAAACATAACCTCCTAATTGTTTAATTGCCCCCTAGCATTTGTGCCCTTTACTCTGGGTCATTGTTCTGGTCATCTGTCTGTCCTTGCATAGAGATAAGCTCAGAAGGAGGATAGAGGGGAATATCTTGATGCCTGCCTGTCACATTCCAACGTTCTCATGGAGTGAGGCAGTCTGGCCTTGTGTAGAGGCCTTAGCTTCTCTGATGTTTGTTAAATCTTTTTTTATTTTTTTATTTTTTTATTTTTTTTTTCTGGGAGTTTCTTATCCTAATAGAACAACTCTACAGTATGTTTTCTAATCCCTAACACTATACCCACATTGTTTGGAACATTTAACAACTATCGCAGTTTTGCAAGAAAGAATTAATCACATAATTCAGTTATAATGTTTCTAAAACATGCTGTTAATACATACAGTGTTTCTATTTCTTAGATCAACTATTTCTAAGGATAAGTTACAGAATACAAATACATTGTGTTCTACTTCTTCAAATCAATTGCCCTTTTTAATATATAATGCAGAAACAACATTCCATTCCCATGGTAGGTAGTTTATTTCATTTCAGGAACCTAAAAGTAGTATTTGCAAACATTACATCTCTTTTTCTCTACATATTTGAGACCAGACTGTGAGTTACTTTTTTCACCAAGTGTGAGTTTCGTAGTTATCCTCAGGGCACTCTTGCATATGCAAAAAATTATGATCTGAGATGCATACTATCTTGGTTTTGTATGGCTTCGTAGTCTTGGGTGAAGTGTTGGGAAACTTCAGGCTTCTTATTTCAGCAGTCTGTTGCCTTGTTTGTCAGCTTGAGTGAATAAGCTTTATTACCCTACTAAATTGCACTGTTTTGTTCTGGAACACTGATCTGTAAGGTTAGGTTTGCAGAATTTATTCAGTATTATTTTTCTGAAAGGTAGAAGGATGCAACTGAGTTGTATCTACTCATTATCAGAAGTTTAAAAAAAAAAAAAAAAGTTTCCTGAAAAGCTTTGTGCAGAAGAATACTTTGAAGTGAAGTGAGCATTGATAACTGTGGTTTTCATGTTATTTTTGTTTTATGAAGTCCTGGATGAAAACAATCAGAACATCACGATTTGTGTGCCTGAATTTAGCCAAGGACTACATGGAGATGAAAACCTGGTTACAGGCCTGGGTACGACCATTCTCTTTGGCTGCATTTTATATTCCTGGTAAGTCTTGGAGTTTACATTTGCTATAAATGCAGTGTTGTCTATCTAAAGATGGCTTATAGCAGTCCTCAAGCAAAGTAATAGCAAGAAATAGAAATTTGATGGAAGGTTCCTGTTCCCTTAATTTCAAAAAAGCCCAGCAGCTATTGAAACAACCATATTTCATTAAAATTGAATAGAACAATTTAAATCTGAAGGTGGAGCTGTTAGTGAAGGTGATCGGTCTCATGGTGCTTTGATTCTGTATTTACTGTCCTGTAGGAATAAATCCATGCAGATGTGTCTGTCTAAGAAAGTTGTCTGGAATTTCTGTAATAACCTGGCAGATGCTATCACTGTTCTTCTGGTGTTTTTGGAGTAAATAAATAAACAAACACATGTGGGAGGGTTTAGGGCTTCTTTTGAACAACTTGTGAGCATAGGACTACTATCAGCATTTTTCAGCAATGTCTTCTCTGAAATCTGCCCCTACCTGTAGTGTTGTGATGCTCACCTGCAATTATTGCAGCTTGCATCAATAAATTAAATCATAGACCAAGGGGGAAGGCAGTTGCTGATAATAAAGACATAATGTGTTACTGTTATGACTGTGAGTTGCCAGGAAACAGCACTGCCTGTCTATTGCAAGCTTCTGAGCAGTTTTTGCTTCTGAGTCCAGAGTTTGTGTACTGAAACTCTAATAATTCTAAAGTGAATACGAGAGGCATTCTGAAGAAGTAGCACAGCAAATCCTCCATCATCAAATATGAATATTTGCCTATTTAATCCTGATACCAAACATGTGGGTTTGTACTTTGGATCTAGTTTTCATGGAACAGCATTTTCCAGTGCATCAGGAGGGTGTTTAGGGAGTAACTTTCAGGTAGCCAACCTGCTGGGGAAATGCACCATGATTTGGGAAGATGAGGGCTGCCAAGTAGAATTCAAAGGGAATTTTGACCTATTGCTTATGGCAGATGAGTGCATGTGGAGCAGTTAGCACCCTTTTCTTTGTGGAAAATTTTATTTATGATCCTGAGAGGGGAAGGCTGGCTGGATAAGAAATATTTCTTACAAAACTAGAAGAGATTTTCCCCAGACGATTACTGTCATGCAAGAAAATGATTTTTAGTGACTGGAATAGTGACAAGCAGTTGGTGATCTGCTCTGAAAGCTGACTGCTGCCAGTGACAGGTTTCTTTACTGGCAAAGCCTGTAGAGAAGCATTTTATGAACGCTGAGCCCAAGCAATGGCTGTGAAATTAATATAGAAACATTAGTTGAGCACAGCAAGGAAGATCTTGTCTAAAATGCAAATTGGATTGCTGAGCTGTTTGCTGCTGTCTGCAGGTGATGAATTCACCCCCTTTCAGGAGTGACCTACTTTCAAGCTTGTGATTCATTCATAGTTGGCCTATGGCCATCTGTAGGCTGGTTTATGCTTGTGCAGAATAAACTTTTCACATGCTTTGCACTTGTGTTTCCTGTGATGAAAAATCACCCTTCTAGGCTTCTGCAGAGAGTTCTTACCCTGTCTTCTTTTGCTCTTAGTTTGACCTCAACAACACGTGCAAGTTCTGAGACATTGAGAGGAATATATGCTGCACCTGAAACTGAAGTGAGTTCCTGCTTCGTCTGCACAGATTTCATTGTGTGCTTTTCCTGCTGTTGTTTTCATGGCTAACTAACCTGTAATTCAGTTAAAAAAAAAAAAAAAAAAAGAGTGCTTGTAGCACACATGCTGCTTGCCTCTGGATCTGTATGAATATATGTCTGCTCTGACCCTTCTGCAGCTGTTACAGGTCCCTTGGCAGTGCCTTTAAGTAGTAAAAATGTAAAATGTAAAAATGTAAGCAGTAAAATGCTCTTGCATTTTAGCTGTTTGCATAGCATTATGAAGACTTCCTGTAAATCTTCTGCTCCTCACAAGCTTGTTTTCTCATTAAAAGATAAAGTCTGCTGGGCACTAAGAAACTGAAGACATTCCTGGACATTATTAATCCTGATTGCTTTTGTTGTGCACATGAACTTTGATTGAATAATGAAAAACAGAGGTGCAGAGCTCAAAGCATGTATGAGAATCCAGAAATGCAGATGGTATTTGCAGCACCTGGATGTGAGAAAGCAAAATATGATTAGCTTTAGGAGTGTGTCAGGTGCTAGAGAAATTTCTCTTTACCTCTGAAAAAGCCATGACTTTGTAGCAGCACAGTGTGGCTTTGGGGCTGACATGTGCTCTGCTGCAGGGGGAGCACAAGATGCTGGATGCAGCCCATTAACTGGGAAGGCTCAGCTTTTGCACAGCAGCAGTTGCCAACATAGTTATTTCTGCACCATTTGGTTTTAAAGAGCAGTACAAGAACCACTGAACATAAATGTAAAGAAATGACTGGCAGAGAGCAACTAATTGCATTGATTGTTTTGTCTGTAATAGAGGTCCTTTGTCTTTCCAACCATGAATATAAACATAGCTTTACAGTTGCTAGTGGTATACAGGAAGTCTTTCAGTGTCCATGCTGAAGACAGCTGAGTGTTTGGAAGGGCTAGTTGTACGTGTGCCAGCGTTGCTATTAGCATCACTGTGTGTGTGCAAGGACTTAAGTTCTGACAAATGAAACTCATTAAAAGGTTTGAGGGAATGGAGATTTTCTTCAGAATCTTAATACAGCCAAAGGGAAACTCAAGCTAAAGGCTTGGTGTAACAATGGAAAAAGCCCATTAATTTGTTGAGATACAGAATAAGAGTTTTCCTTAAACTCTTGACCAGTCCCTTAAGAATGAGCTTTTTGACTTCTCATGAATTTATGAACCCAATGAGTATATGTAATCACAGGTAGAGTGAAAGCTGTAATTTTTTTCCATTGGAAACTCTGAAGGCTTGACACATTCCAGAAGTTACATGCTATCTTTATCAGACCACAACAAAATTAAACCCTAGAGAGGAATTTTATTAGAAAAAATAATGTAGGTGAATGCAGTACACAGCACTGAGCTGTACTGTGGTCTTATGCAAAAAGTGCACCTAGTTGTATGTTCACTGTTCTCTCCGCACCATTTTTTCATTTACATGAACTCTCGACCCAGGGAGTGTCTGACCCTTCAGTAGACAATTTCAGCTTTCCTTTTTCCATCAGTTAAAAAAAATGTTCTTTTCAGTGAAGCAACAACTTTCTCCTTGTACTCAGTCTAGATCCATTTCAGCAAATTTTTTTGAAGATAAGTACATTTGCATTTCTGTTATTCCCAGTGCCTGCAGCAGTTTTGCAAGTTCATTGTATCTTCATTTCAGTGAAGAATTTATTTGAATGACACTTAGATGTGAGTCTTAAGTGTCTTTCTGAATCCTTAATGTGCCACCACATTAGCTTTTCCACCATTTTGTCATAGTTTACGGTGCAATACTGCCAGTACTTGATCTTGAATTATATAGAAGAGATTGGTTCCTAAAGATTGATTTGTTTGCTCCCAGCTCTTTCCAAGTAGATTTTTCCAAAGCTTAGAAGCTGCGCTTACAAACAATTTGGCAAACCTTAATTGCAGTTTCATGCTGGTTGGAAAAACAAGCCATATATTTCTAAATTAGTGCCGGTAACTTGGACATAGCAAGGCCTTCTTCACCAGTTGTTCTGCTTCTTTGCTTGCACAGGCTCACACCTTTGCTGTTGTTTATTCCACAGGTGGCTCGTTGCTGCTTTTGCTGCGTGCTTGATGGAGATGGTAATTACATTTTCACTGCAAAATTTACCCAGCCTAGTGGCTTTCAGATCAAAGAAAGAAAGTTAAAGGCACAAGCATAGAAAGTTTGTTGTATCCTTGGTTTGTATCATGTCAAAGTGAAACAACTGAAGTATTCAGCCTTAGACTAAGGAGGAAAGTAGCACATATATCAATGTCTTCAAACAACAGGTTAGTTAATAATTCCTTAACAAATGACTTGATAATGAAACGTACAGAAAGAACATGGGTGTGACTGACTGTGCGATTTTTGGATTAGCAGCACCACAGAGACTCTGGTTCAGGAGGAGTTCAGGAAGGGTGTGCCCTGTTTGCAGAACATGAAGGGATATCAACCTGGACTTGCCAGGAGAATATCCTACAAGTAGACCCAGACACTAAAGAAATAAGCCAGACACTCAAAAAAAATGACAAGCCAGTACCAATGTACCAGCAACCTGATACAGGGCAGCCTTTCAGTGACACTCCCATTTTTTTTTACTGAATGCTTAGGCCCATGCCCTGAGGGCAGGAAAATGCTCTGTTTCCTGGTTTGCAGAATTGCACTAGACATTTTGTTGTTTTTCATGAATCTAGCCACTATTTTCAGTTCTCATTAAATTTGCTGAAGTTTTCTTGTTTTTTGTCTCTTACAGCTGATGCTGAGGAGCGTGTTGAAAAAAGGGGAGGCCAGACCGTGATTTATGATGAAAAGAAAAGCACAGTGTACAGCTATACCTTCTTCCACTTTGTTTTCTTCCTGGCTTCGCTCTACGTAATGATGACAGTAACTCATTGGTTCCAGTAAGTGCATTTCTTTTAGAGCCAAGAAACTAATGCCTCTGTGCACTGAGAGGAGAGATGTGAGTGGCGGTGCCTGCTGCTAGTGCATCTCCTCTCATAAAGCAGGAGGCTGCAAGAGAGGGCTCACGTCTTTCCTGGGGTATTTTTGAGTGAGCTCCTGCTCTGCAAATAACTGCTTTCCCCTGTGGCTGTGTTAACCTAGTTGCAGTGTGTGACCCACCTGGAGAAACAGAGGCTACTACAATTTTCACAAACAGTGAGTTTATTGCTTTTTTTTTTTTTTTCTTCTCTTTAACAGCTATGAAAGTGCCCAGATTGAGAAATTCTTCACTGGAACCTGGTCCATCTTCTGGATTAAGATGGTCTCCTGTTGGTTTTGTGTCTTTCTCTATTTATGGACTCTTGTTGCTCCGCTGTGTTGCCCAACCAGAGAGTTCTCAGTGTGAACACTCAAAAAAGCTGAGTGTTTTATCTTTTTTTTTTTTTTTTTTTTTTTCCTGTTACAAATAAAGTTCAGTGGTCACTTTGTAATGAGGAAACACCCATTGCCTCATTATCATGATATGCCAGATAGTAACATTTTAGCTAGATTAAAATAATTGAAAAGTTTTTTTTAACCATTTTGAAACTGTAAGGAAGTGTTGCCCAAAGGGATGATTCTATTCCAAAACTTTTTAAGACTGATGTGCACAGTGCAAAGAACATGGTTGTTTCATGAATAGAAATAAGTGAAATGCTTTTAGAATAACTGACAATCTTTCTCTGACCTTATTGGCAAGAAAATAAAAACAAATAATGGTGCAGATATCAAACATTTACAGAAGATACATCTTCTAGCAGAACACATTCCTTTTTATACTGTATTATTAACCATGTCTTTTGCAATGATGATGTGAACGCTGTTTTGTACAGCCTATAATTCTTATAAGTAGTACACAAATCTCTTTTTCCAGAAACACACCTGAATACTTCTGTAGAAATAGAGAATATATAAAAGTTTGACTGCCAAAACATCTAAACATTGTTTAAATATATTATAAATTACTTTATTACCTAGATTGAGAAAGCAATCTGCCATTGAAAATAGAGTATTTATCCTACTGTAACTTTAACAGGCACCTGAACATTCTATGCAATTCAGAACTTATCCAGTCATTAACAGCGGGGAGTTCTACGCACAGAGATTCTTCAGCTCTGAATTTGATTGATTTTGCTTTGCCAGATTAAGATTAGTAACTGCAAGTTTTGTGTACTGTACAAGGATTTAAGATACGGTACAGTCTTTATTCAAAATGTCTTCTGCTGAGGAAATATTAATTACAAGAGCACTGTTCAGTTACTGATAGCTTTAAACGTGGAGTGCTCAGTTACTTTTCTACCCTGTTGTCTCAGTTTGTGTCCAAGGATCTCCCAGGGTCTTCGGTTCTGTTTCCGTTACTTATTTGAAAATAGAGTGATAGAAAAAGGACTATAATCATCCTCCTTTTCTGCCTGTATTGTTTGGAAGCATTCTTCCTAACTGCTATACCTTTATACTTCTCTGTTGGCATTAGTTTTGTTGTTGCAATGGGAGATAGCCAACGGATCCGTTAATGGGAATGGAACTTCTTTTATAGTGCTCCTGTTTCCAGTAGTGAGATAAGGAGCCAGGAAAACAAAAGCAGAAAACACAGTGTGACAACAGCTGCCATAGTACAAATGACTGACTTGACAACATAAAGCCCTACTATATACATATATATATATTATATATATGTGTGTATATATACACGTATATGTATCTTTTTTTTCTTCTAGCAAACGACTTGGCGGTTGGACAACAGCTCAAATGCTTGAAGTTCTGAATAAGGCTGAACCTACTTAAATTATCTACTTACCAGGGGGAAGAATTTACAACTGCAAGTTACCCCCAAGGCTTTTTTTCCTCTTTTTCTGTGTGTATGAGTACACATACACGTATATACACACAATGCGATGTGTGCAAAGAACCAGTTTAGCTGGCGTAGGGTGCTTTGCATTGTTTTGTTTTCTTTATTTGAAAACATGATCGAGCCTTAAGTGCTCACCCAATGCTTTCTACAAGACAAAAGCACAACACAGAGGCCAATGAGGTGGCCAAAATATTGATATGCCTTATTTGTTCTGCTGCCATAACTGATAGCTAAGGCACATCTGGTGAGTGATCCTAATGTAATACATCTCAGTTCAGCTCTTGTTTTGTTTGCCGTTTTCAGCTGTCTTTTTGCTGTGGTATCCTAGAGCTCCTGTCCTGCTTGCAATTTGCTAGTGGTGTTATCTTCCCAAATTCTAACGCTCTTACCTCAAGGAAAATCTGCAGGCATGAATGTCCTGGACATTGCCTACCGCAGTGACTAGGAGCCTCAAAATGCCTCTGGAGTGAAGACTATGGGAAGGAGGAATCTCTTACAGCTCCAGAGCTCTAAAAACTGGTGGCTAGTTTTTTTGTCATTCTTGCTTCTGCTGGGAGATACTGGTCTTGTTAAGAACTCTATTAGCAGGAAGCCCATATGCTTGGCTGCATTTGGAATCCAGCAAATCAGATCCTTCTGCAGCAGAAAGGCACTTGTTACTGTGTTTGCAATTAGTCATCTCTAAGATAAGAGCTTATGGACTGTGCAGTGATGAATGTTGTATCGCCCTACTAGTAGCAGCTGTTCTGACAAAGTCTTGGTCCAGAACCTAAACTGTGAGCTGCAACTGAGATAGTCCAGCCCTACAGTCCTCCTTTGGTGAATGTTCGCTATGTTTTCTAATGGCGCAGGAGTTGCTTTCTAGTGTCAGTTATGTTGTGTCAGTATGAGAAAACAAACCTATTTTATTAAAATTAGTAGCGTTATTCTAGCAGAACAGTCTGGGCAAGAAGCTCTGCAGAAGCAGGCATTATGTCAGGTTGTAAGTCAATGAATGGCAGCTGTTCTCGGAATCTGATAAAAGGGAACTTGGTCACAAATTTGGACGATTTTAATACGTATCTTGGCCAACAGATGTTCTTATTTGCTTATAAAAATGCTTATTTATGTGGGTATTTGCCTACATAAGGACTTGATGCACCTCCTCGTGCGCACTTTTTATAACTTGTATTTAGGGAAACAGGGTTGTAAGAGGAAACTCTGCAGTGAGGCCTGAGTTCATTCTTCTTACACACATTAGCCTTGCTGAGTTGTTCCTTCACCCTCCCCTTTCACCAGCTATTGACTTTACATGTTTGTGGGTATACAGAGGGTGGAACAGGGCAGTGCCGGACTATGCTGTTCTGTCTGCACCTGAGCAAGCCGTGTGGGTAAAAGGCCCTGGAAATGATTCTGAGACCCCAGATCTGATTGTGGGTCTCCAGGGCGTCCTAAGGAATTAATAATTGCTAGCACCTCGATACACAAAGCCTCAGTGAGACACAACCTCTTGCTGGCCAGGCAAAGATTTCAGCCTTAGCATTTGTTATGAGATCTGTACTGTGAACTTTCCACACATAACTACTTAGTAAAAATCTTGGCTAGGGTCTAAGATTCAAATGCTCGAATCACTGGTTGCTAGCAGTTCACAGAGATGGGCTTTTAGAATCTTTTTAACAAGTGCCTTCAGACTTACTGCCATGAGAGCAGTGGCACTGGAACTGGAAAGCCTGAACTGAGCCTGCAGAGCGGTGCTGCTGCCTTCACCGCTGCGTGCGAGACGCATTGATGCCTGTGGTGCATGTGGGAGACCAAATAACCTGTGCTTGGCCAGATGCTGAGTGTCTGTCCTGCACTGATACTCGCCTTGTGCCGTGGCTGTTCTTTGAATTTGTTCCCAGGCATAAGGCAGCGTTGCAGCATTTCTGGTTCCTGTTATTTTCGAGCTGTGTAAAGTGAGGAAGCTGCTGTTTTTAGACAGGAAGACTGGAGGCTGTGCTACGTTTCCTCTAGTTCAACCTGAGTTTGAGTTAGTGTCATGGTTAGGGGAGTTTTGGAGGACAGTCCACATTGGCTGAAGTTAGTTCTGCTAGTAAAATGAAATAGCGTATTGTTGTTTTTCTACTTGTTAAAATTGCCATCAGAAGAAGGCCTACTTGGAACCTCATTGCTGCACTGCTGCCTCTGACCAGAGCCATTTTTCTTGTGAAAGCAACCAAGAACTGAAACAGTGTTGACTGCTTTTTATTTGGGGATAAAACCAGTGGGATAAACTCAGAGAGCAAGTCTGTGAATCCAGATACTGGACTAACAAATGAGACCACAAAAACCTTATGAAGAACATACGGAAAGCAGATGGATGTGTTTGCTGTTTACCGCCTCGTTCCTCCAAGCGCGCAGGCTGCCCTTGCAGCTGGATGCTGAGTAAGGAACTTCACTGTGCTCACAAATCAGTTGTGCATTTCTGATGCTTCTAGCTTCGTACTTCAAGCATTTCTGCTCAAAAAGCTTGTACTTGCCCTGCTACTCTGATAAAGTCCTAGCTGGGTTTGGGCCACTTTTGTCTGAAACGGGTAATTTGGTGTTGATAATGCACGTGTAGTCCAGAGAGAGGGCTTATCCCTCACAGAATCACAAACATTGCATGTCTATTTATTTATTTATTTTATGTTTTAGCACCTTTTTCAAGTCTTGAAGCGCTTTGATAGTATAAGCTATGCACCTGTAGCAGTTTCACCAGCCACCTGTGCAGCCATTTCTGGGCCAGAGCATGGCTGTGGATCGAGGAACCATTGCACTTGAAGAGAGAGGGAAAAAAAAACATCTGGTTCCTAACAGTTCTCTAATTTTGACCAATGCATAAGGGAAATCTAGGAATGCAAGATACTGCTGCTTTAACTTCAGCAAGCAGCCTGCAGTGTCATGGGGATCTTTGAACAAACTAGCAACAAAATAATCCACTGATGGGCTTTAAAGCATGCTATGAAGAGTTTATGCTAGGACTATTACACCTTTCTCTTAAATGCATTGGTGATGCAAAAAAAATTGTAAGACTGTACATACGTGGCTAAATGAGCAAGATTATTTGCAGCTAAAATTTTGTTGTCTTTCTGTGGGCTGTAGAAGCAGTGTGTTCTCCGTGCAGGCTGTATCCTCTCATTTTATTTGCTTTTTTCTCCTTGAGTTCATTTTTTCAAAGCACTGCAAATCTGCTTAACTCCCATTCTGCTGCATGCCATGGCAATGTCATTGGTCCTAGAAATTGACAGGTCTTCTTGATTCCTGCCTTGCTGTAAGAGCAGCACTGCAGTGCTGAAGCAAAGTCGAGGGTTGTAGCTTTGTGTATGGATCAGCTTTCCGGTATGGAAAATGCATCTTTGTTTTCTTGAGTTGTCCTGCAAGTTCTTGTGGGAGGAAAACACATCATCAGCGCAGTGAAACTTTACTTTGTGTTTTCAGTTTTGTGAGCAGTAATTTAAACTCAGTGTTTCATATGACTGTACAAGGGATTGCCAGGGGTCGAGTGCTTGGAAAGCTTTGGTTCTTTGTACTGCTAGCAGGACACATATCCTGGGAATGGCTGCAGCTGCATTGCCAGCAGTCTGGAGGCAGAAGGTGTGGTGCTGTGAAGGGATGCAGGCGCGCAGAACCGTGCCTGGTGCAGCTGCTGTGGCGTCCTTCTATTGCCAGAAGAAACTCTGTAAGTTCAAGTAGGCCACAAACCCATTTCTTCTGTTTAGTTTTTCCTAGTCCTGGTGTAGAATTATTCCACATCTGTTCAGTGATACTTCTTAAAAATGCCAGACTTTTTTTCAAATGCAAACCACGTTGACTTCCCCCGTTCGCCATCCTCCGGTAGCTCCCACCGCTGCAGCACAGCCACACAGTTCAGAGGGGCTGCAGCTGAGCCCCGCGTGGCTCCAGCAGCTCCAGCTGCGCCAGGCAGAGCGGTGGGTGCAGCACTCGGGCTGTGTTTTTGCCAAAGAAGTCTCAGCCCGAAGCCAAGGAAAATTTTGGAAAGCTACAAGAAAATAATGTTCTGTTACGCATGCCTTAGCTTTATTTTTTCCTCTTTCTGAGATTTGTCCAGGTGCTTAGGTGTCGTTGGACATCCGCGCAGTCTTAAAGCAGGGAAAACTGATGTTCAGAGAACAATTTTCAACTTGTCATATACAAGCTGAGAAAATACTTACAAGGAACATATGGTTCATTGTGTGCTTTTTATTTACCAGAAATGAATGGTGATTAGTCACATGTATGCCACATGTATTTGAGAACTGGATGCAAACTAGGCAAAATATAAACACTTTTTCTTAATGGTGAGGCGGTTTCAATTAGTCCTTTTCTTAATATCTCAAGGGAACTTTTCATGTGTTTGTGTGATTTAGTTTTATCAGTCTATAGCCCGGTGAAGTGCTAGTTTTATTTAACATTTTTGTGAGTGTTGTGATCTGTAGTAACTGTAATACTTTGACTTTTAGGGATTGGTAAAGGCTTCAGAATTCTAAGAACTTCATTGTAAAATAGCTAAGTCTTTTTAAAGCATGCTTATGGTTTTTATGGACACTTCCTTTTGTATTCTGAGTGAATGTATTGTTACAGGTTTAATGTTTAATGGACCAATAAAGTTTTTCTTACAAATGAAGTTGTTTGTGCTATATAAAAGTTGAAAAGTCAACTTGGGAGAAAATTCACATATATTAAGATATGAAATAATCAGCTGCTGAGCCGCAGAATTGGTTGATTTTTTTTCCCCCACTACATTTGGATGTTGTTTAACAGAAAAAAAGATGTTGCTATCACAGATGGCATTATGGACTTCACTTGGAAGAGAGAAACAGCAACATATTGATGTAAAGTAGTGGTTTAACACAGCTTAATTGCAAGACAGGCACTTAACAAGATTCAAGACAAGAAGGTGCACTTGATTATTTACTGCATAGAGGATAGCATTAACCACCCTCATTCAGATGAGTCACGAGGCTCAGAGTATGCTTTTGCTTTTCAAATTTGAACCACAGAGCTAAGGAGCTGATATGCAGCAAAACCCATTCCTGGTCCCAGGCTTGGTCAGTGATTTATGTCTAAGGGATTGCATGTGTGCAGTTAAAGATACAACCTTAACAAAGCTCAGACAGCTTAACAAACTAGTATCAGTCACTTTCTGAGGATCTGTATCGACAAGATGTCTTGACATCAAGTATCAGAGATCTGTTTCTGCACAGATGTAACCTCTAGAGGTGTGCCTACTCAAGTGGAGATCATGCCTGCAGCCCACTGCCAAGTAGGTGAGCTCCAGGGGCTACAGGCTGCTTGTTATTTGTGGGCTAAGATAGCTGATTCAGCTGCATTTGTGTGCCAGCCCTCCCTTGAATGAGCATGCTCCAGTGGTAGCAGTTGAGCAAGATCTTGGGTTGTGGTGCAAGATAGCCCTTGGCTATGGCGCTGTTACCTGAATCCCCAAAATCCAAGAATGCAGCCATTATGACTACTCCTAGAGTTACCTGCTTACATTAGTGATCATAGCCTGAGCAGCATTACGGCAAAAATAATAAATTCAGGTGCAGGGCTGCACAGTCACGCTTAGGGAATAGGACATGGCTTCTCCACATGCGCTATTGCGTGGATCTGGTCACACAGGTAAGCAGAGCTGTGGGGGCTGAGGCCAGGAGGCCTCTGTGGTGTGATCCCTGTGCAGCTCTGGTGCCAGGCCATAGGCTGTGGGCAGCGAGCAAGGCATGGAATGGGCTGTGGCCCTGCTGGCCTGAGCCAAAATCCAGCCACCTGCACCCAGCTGCATGCGTTGGGGCCTGGCAGGATGCTGCCGTGTTCAGGTGATTCCCCTCAGGAGATGGCCCTTAGGGAGTAGCAGTATTTGAAGGCCGTTCATGGTGTCCGTAGCCCTTGATTAAGAATTGGTGGAGTGAGAGGCAGCAGCCCCAGCACTGCTGAGCATTTGCAGCTGCTGCTCAACTTGCACAGGGGTGTGAGGGAGATGGACATGCTTGACTTTAGAGATGTGGGATCACAGTGTCTCTGTTGGACAATGGCCACACATGGAGCTCTGCACTGCACAACAGGCAGGAAAACAGTGGCGGTGAAGTGCTTACGCACCAGGTCTGATAGATGGGTGGCAGGGTTTCCCAGGCCCTGAGTATGACCTTGCAGCACATCTTTGTTTGTCCACAACAGGTAACTTCACAGATTCTGAATTTGTGGGTTATGAGGTGTCAGCACAGCAGAAGTGTGAGCTCTGGCATCACATTGCCAGGTGTGCCAGCACTGTGGCCCACAGCTGAGCGAGATGCCCTAGGCGGCTGGAAGCTGCCAGCTGTGGCTTTGTTCAGGTACCTCCAGAAGCCCCAGAGCCAGATCCTGCCTCGCTCTCACCTGCCTGAGTCTGTGGACCAGCAGGGAGAGCTTGGCTGTGGCATGGGCACTGTTTATTCACATCCTTATGAAAAGTAACAGCTGTGTAGTCTGCAATGTCTTTTTCTGCAGCTGCCCTTGGAGCTTGTACTGGCTTCATGCTGAAAAAGGATGCAGCAGAAACACACACGGTATCCAAACTTACTAAGTTACAGAGTGCACTGGGACACTTTTTTGGTTTGTTTCCCATCCCCTTCCTAATGGTTGTTAACACTTAATTCAATGGTTGTATAGGTGTTTTTTTAACTTAAATAATCACTATAGTACTGGTTGAGAGAGCTTAGCTCTGAGCAGGGTCAGCAAATCTAAGCCTGGCTTGAGGTATGTGAGGCAGGATTATTTTCTATGGCTGCTTCAACTCTTTTTCTTTAAATCATGTGCAAGTCATGCACTGTGATGAGATCTGACTACAACTCCCTGCAGGCAGCTTTTTTGTTTTTATAGGCTATAAGTGTATTCATAATTTTCTGGAAGCAGGAGCACAGGAAGGTCTGACAGTTCTTGGAGGAGTTTTGCCAAAAGTAACGGGCTGCAGAAAATTTAATCTCTCCAAGGTGAGAGAAAAGCTTCTGACCTGAGCGTAAGTAGGAGTGGAGAAGATAGTGAGAAGCACGAGATTGTGGCAGCACCCATCTCTTCTATTTCAGGCTGGACACAAACTCTTGTTTTTGACACATGCCAGAGATAAAGTTAGAAAGACAAAATTGCCCTTTCTTCGTGATTCTGTTTAATACTGAATCCAAAATGGCAACAGAATCAAACAGTTCCTGAGAATGGCTTAAGCATCATTACATTACATGCCACTGCCTAGGTCTTCAGGCAAATCTGAAAACAAGTGAAGCCTCAGAATGTTTTTGTCTCCTTTTTATTTTCACTTTTATACAAAAAAGTCTGACAATCACATCAATAAGAACAAGCTGAAATGTGAACTCTTACAACAATCATATAAGGATTTAAAATACATTGTTATTGCAAACAATAAAGCAATACTAGTTTGCTTTTACTCCTTAAATATCCCCAACGCCAAATTGCTGAGCTTGAAATTCTTGAAAGTCCTCTGGGATGGTGTCTGAAAGCAGGAAAATACAGGAAAGATCAGTCTCCTTACGACTAAAGGAAGAACTTACACTACTTGGTTGCATCTATTTAGGTAAAGCCTGGTCTTTCATTTACCTGTTAAGAATGAACTGGGACTGCTTGCAGTTTTAGTGTATGCCACTGAAAAGCAGAGGAGCTCACAGGATAGCGCATGCTGCAGTGTCAGTTCAACTGGACTGCTACAATCCTTCAGATGTTTTGGTTTGTCTTTTTCCCACCAAAAATTTTAGTGGCTTCTGCTGTTACATTTGTGATAGTAAAAAGCTGAGCAGAAAGGTGGAAAAAAAATTGGTGTCTTGCTTTGTAACCCAGATATGTGCACAGTACCAATTCCTTGATTTCCCAGCTCAACTGGGAAATGCCCATGGTGGCATGAAAAGCCATAAGAGGAAACATTAATCCTCAATGCCAGGACCAGCAGCAAAAACAAATTTAAAGCTGGCAAAGGAAGCTGGAGATGGGTCAGTGTTGTAAGAGTAGCTGTAGTGGTTGATGCTGAGTTTGCAGGGTCTTTTTGCCAGGTGCCAGAATGTGTCACCCAGGCAGCCACAGAGCAAACAGGAGAGCTGAAGCAGCAACTGAGCAGAGTTCAGCAAGCTGAACTACCTGATTACACCTTGGTCTGATTCTTTCCACCTTGATGCTGGGCAGGTATCTCTGAACTCAGTAAATGAAATAACTTCATAAACAAATGATATTTGGGGACAAAAAGTGGCAAGTATTCTGCTTTTTTCATCTGTTGGTTTGATAACTTCTTTTTTGAGCACCGAGAATTATTGTTAAGATTTCTTCACAAATGTGAGACCTCAACTGAAGTATGAAAGGGATGCTGGAAACTCCACAGAATTCCTTAGTGGACTTCACTGAGCCACTGCAGTATCTGCAGCAAAGCCGCTGCCTGCTCACTGCCAGGAAAAGTATCTGCAAGTGTATCTTCAGTAAGAGCTCTGAGGCATGCTTTCTGGGAAACCACACACTGTTTCAGACATTACCAAGTAATCTTTAATTGTTTGCATCTGCTTAACTGTCACTCACAAATACCAGCCTGTGCTCAAGTGCTCAGGAGCCAAGGTGCAGCGCTGGGGGCTTTTCTGTACAGCACCTGTGTCCATCACAGACTCAGGTTTGGCTTCCTAGATCCATGGAAAGTGAAGAAACTATGCCAGGTTGGCTGGTAAATTATTTTACTATAGCTGCCTTGGTCAGTCAGGGAGTGATGCTGAGACAAGGGTCAGCCCCTGGTATCTCCACCTGGAGCTAGATCAACTGCTGATGGGCTGAAATAGCCCAACACAACCAGCTTCTGTGTGAGTGAACAAGACAGGATTTATACAGTATGGTGGGAGATCAGGTCAGAGCTGAGGATTTTACCCTATGTGGAGAGCCAGCATGCACCCATGGTCTGAGGACTCCATCCTTACAGGCATCTTAGGATCCTGTCCTCTCACAGACAGGAGCAATCAGCAGCACAACAGGGGCAACCAGCAATACACAAACGATCCCAGCAGATCTCCAGATTGGCTTCACCTTGTTTTCAAAGCTTGAGGCACCGTGCATACATGATGACCTCAGTATGTCGTGCATGCACAGCTCTCATGGTTGACTGCTTTTAAATAACATTTCTAATTCACTGATGACAGCAACACTACTTAGTGAGCACAATCTCTGCAGCACAGCAACTGCTCTGGGAAGAGCAGTTGTGGGGTGTTAGTTCTCATCTGGTTGGGCTGCAGTGCCTTTCTGGTGTCAGGGGAGGCATTTAACAGCTGTAAAAAACTTGCAAATGAAAATCAAAGGAAAAGATGCAAGATAGCTTAATTCAAAAGCTGGATTAATGTTCTTTCTGGTAATTTGCTAGAGATTACAAAAAAAAAAACAAAAAAAAAAACCCAACAACATTACCATTACAGCGATATTTCAGGTTGGACCAGATAATGTTTTCCTGAGAAAAGCAGAAAACTCCAAGCCGTCCTCCACGCATCGTGGTGTCTATAGTTACACCAGAGTCTGCCACCAAGTCAGAGCCTTCGTAAAATCTTGCCCTTAATGAAAACAAACAGAAGCTGTGTTAGGTCTTTTCTAAATCTGCAGCACTTATAAAAGTAGTTTCATTTATCTGCTTTGATTCCAGCCTTCTGCCTGCAGCCAGGCTAGGGGAGTAGAAGCTAAGACATAGCTCCTTTGTGGTAACTGGAGCAATGCTGCACTCAGGAAAACAGCTCAGCAGAGAAGAGGTTTTCCATGTTTTGGTGGCTGCTGGCTTGATCCTGTCCTCGGTCCTCTATCAGTCTACAACTGGTTACTATGGGAGAAACAGACAATCAGGTTAGGTCAGCTGAGGAATGCCAGATGGATTTTGTCTCACACAGTATGAAGCTAAGCTATTTTTTTTTTTTTAAATAGGCAAAGTTTCAAACATGCTGCATGGAATCTTAAAGCTGCTTTCCTGACTGTTGGATTTCTTTAAAAATGTTTAGATGATTCATTCCAGGAACAGTTTTGATGATCTGGCACTTTCTTGTTATAAAAACTGTCAGCAAATTCCCAAATAACCCTAGGAATAATTGTGCCCTGCCAAATTTCCAAGCACATGCCCTGTCCTGAGGGTCTGAGCAGGACCACACTGCAGCCAAGTGAACTATCACAGCACCAGCTGTACCACATCCTCGGCCTCTGGATACCAGCAAACAGCTCAATGGACAGTGAACCTGGAGGGTCCTGCCTTGGGCAAGGATACCTCTGTGTTAGGAGCCAGCGTGACATGCAAGAAAACAGTGGGTGGTGAAGGGAAAGAAAGTTCCTATGTCTTTTCATAAAATAAGAAAATAATTCCTGTTATGCCTATTTCCTGATTTGCTGAGGCAGCTGAATGAATAGAGCTTGTTACTCACTCGAGTGCCTTTTTCCTAGATGTCCTCGTAGCCTTGGAAAATCTCTGTAAGACACATTATGGTCTGTGGCATTAGGCCAAAATGGACAACAGCAAGAGGTGGGCAGTGCTGGCAGAGGTTCACTTCAGGCCTGCCTGAAGGATTTTGTGATACTAACAGGGCTCCTATCTTCAGCTGCAAGTCAGTTAAGCAGGCTAGAGAGACTGCAACCACAGGCAGACAACTGCTTGGGAAGCAGCTTCGTGAACATCTTGATCTAAAGGAAATGCAAAAATCTGCCACCCAGTGGCTAGGACACAGTCATTGACAATACCAACGTTCTCAATCCACTGCAGCTAAAAGTCAGGCACACCCATTCCACTGATGATGTGCACCAGAAAATGGAATTATAATAGCACCAACTTTGTGCATTTCAATTGCAGAGTGATGATTTTTTGAAGAACAATCCAGTTTCCTGTGTTTATTCTATCACAAGCTTGCAAAATCTGTGCTAAGAACGCTATAGTGGTTTTTTTGCTGTTTTATTTTTTCAGAATCAAACTCTTCAGAATGATTGCTTCTAAATAACTGCTCTTTCTAAATTAAAAAAGTAAGACTAGTTTGAATGTAGTTGTACTTAACAAATAAACTTTCTCAGCACATTCTCTGTGACCTCAAATCATCGTGATTACTAATCTTAGGAGCGCAGCCATGGAATGGACAGCTTTGATTACATATTCTGTGATAACAGCCCTAAAACTACTAAAATTACAATTCAAACTAAAAGATCAACATTAAGACATTTTTAAATGTCTTTTGAGGAAACAAGGTATCATAGCCATGAAGTGGTCTGGTAGTGCTGGGCAGTTAAAACAAAGATGGTAAAAACATCAATTACAAAACATTTAGCTTGCAATTGTCTGCCCTAGGAAAAGAATTGCAGGTGGAAGTTCACAACTGTAACCCCTTACAGCTTCCTAACTGCAAAGCACAGACACCACAGATTTTCAGATCATTTAAGAAATGTTGAGAAACAAAAGCTTAAGCAGACATATATCTGTACTCACCTTATCTATTCTTTACTCTTACCTGATATACCCAATCTGGGGCCTGTGCTGCAAGAACCAGCGGTAGGAGACTTTGTCTTTCCACCCCACATTTCGAGGGTCTTTCCACAGCAGCCTCACCTGGTCACTGGTGTCCCCTGTGTGCCAGAGGGAGTTGCGCAGGTGCTCACCTGGACCTGTCTTTGATTTCACAGCCTGCAGAAATACATTTTTCAAGTACTGACAACAGAGAAATGTAACTTCCAGCAGCACTACGTCTTCTGTAGTGGAGAGATCTGCAGAAGCACCCTCCTTCCCACTCACAAGCCCACAATTTCTTTGGTAACTGCAGCCACTGCTTACATAGAAAAATAATCAAATACCCAGGACCAAGGAGAAGCAGGCGATGTGACAACTAGAGCAGGGACTAAATACTCCAGTTGATGGACAAAGGACTGTCAATAACAACTGTGCTGATTAAACAGGCTGAGTGACAGCTGTCTGACAACAGTTTTGGTACCCAGTGCGGGGAAAGGAAAGCAGCTGAACATCACTGCCAACACGCAACATGATGACTTTGCCAAAGTCAGAAGGGCCAATGCCTGACATGAAGGCTTAGCCCACAGCCAGGCTGTAATGACCACTGCACCCCCAGCTAGGATGCACGAGCATACCTTCAGCTGAATGCCAGGCTCTGCAACAGCTCTGAAGGGAGTTGCTTGCCAGTACGTCTGTTCGGTCTGTTTCCACATTACTACATAAAAGCTAGAGCTGTCTTGATAGCCAAAAATAAAACCAGCGTAGTCGTCATCTGTCACTGTGTTCACATGAAAAGTGCCCTCGAAGTCAACACCATTAAAAGCAGTGTAACCTAAGGAGATGCAGGGTTAAAACCAAGTCTGCAGAAAAAGCCTTCACATGCTACTTGATTTTCTGCTATAAATCTTGAATCTCAGAAGAGCACACATACCAACAGCAAGGCCAGGATCACTGTTCATAGTCTGCACAATTTCCATGCCCTGAAAGATTAAATTCAGGGTGGTTAGTGTGCATGACGAGCTGGGTTGGCTAAGGCTGGCAGCCTCTTCTGGCCTCCTGCTAGCACCCCCTCCATGCCTTTCCTCTCTATGCTCATAACATGTCTGCAACACTGCTCTGAATTAAAAAGAAAGCTACAATCAAATCCTCATATTTCACCTGCTTGTGTGCACAGAGTTGGGAATGATTTTTCTTTTCCTGGAGGACTGGACTTAGTTTTCTTTCCCTCCCTGCCCCAATTATTCTGAAATCACTAACTCTGGGCCAGGATTGGAGATGAGATGGAAAAAACAAATGGGAGATGAGGACTTTTGCAGGGCCTCGCTCACAGAATTTCATCACTGTTCAGGATTAAACTGACCGCCAGGACTAGGCAGAGGAAGGTTTCTTATACATTTCAGCTGGTTTGGCAGAAATTTTAACAATGGGAGTGAAATGTCCATTTCTCGTGACTGAAAACGTTTCCCTTCTGAAGACTAAAATGTGTTAGTATAAGCAATATTTATTGGACTTCATTTAGGAGCAGATGCTCTGCTATACAGCAAGTCAGACTTTCAAACTCTAGAAAGTACTCTTGAAATTTTACTATGTCATTAGTATTTGCGCTGTATTTGACTTCTAGCAGCAGTGTAACACTTCTAGAACTAGTTAGCCTACAGTTATTTTAGTTCATTACAGAGTCCAAGAATTGTAGGGGTTTGAAGGAATCCCTGGAGGTCACTTAGTCCAACTCTCCTGCAAGAGTAGCATCAAGCTTCAAATTACTGCGGTCTGAGGGAAAACTGTTCCACTGTTAACACCTATACAAGAGTCAACAAAACAGCAGCTTCCACTTCTCATTCATTTACAAGAGGTTTGACAAGTACAGAGCTTTTCAAATGTTCTTTCTTGGACACGTGAGAAAAAAACGTGTATTTTTACCTGGTTTAGAACCACCCAGTTGGGGTCAATCTGAGCATCTCCCTCTGGGTCCAACACCACGGTCTGATAGGCCCTGAAGTCCGTCAGGGTGATCTCTGCGTTCTCAGGGCAGACATCAATCCGATCAATTACTGTATCCTGGTCAAAATCAGACTCGCACACATCCCCAACTCCATCACCTGAACACATCAGAGAAGTGAGAGTAAACTTACAGTTTAGTAAACTTACGGCAGCAAGTAGTCACACTGACATAGCTGCTGAACCTGGATGTCCAAGGAGCGGGCAGAGTTTCTGTCCTGACAGCTAGTGTCTGCAGATGGGACATAAGGAGCTCTGCCTTGGCCCATGGGTACCTGCATGCACATAGCAACCGTGCAGTCTCAGTCAGCGTATGTGCTGGGGAAGGATGTGGTGTGCAACTACCAAAACCACTCCTGAAGACGTGACTTACCATTATCATCTTCCTGCCCTGGGTTGGGGACTAGCCTACAGTTGTCAGGGCCTGGAGGCAAGAGATCTGGAATGCCATCATTATCATCATCCTCATCACACTCATCACCCAGCCCGTCCTTATCTGTGTCCAGCTGGGAGCTGTTGATAATGGTGGGGCAGTTGTCTGTGCTATCCTGGTGCCCATCACCATCACTGCAAGCACAGAGACAAAAAGAAAAAGAGGCATCAGCTCCCACCTCTGCATAGGGAGAACACCTGAATGGGATATCCACAAGAGGCACCCTAGGAGCCTGGGAAACTGAAGGGGGGGGACACCATAACCTGGTATCACTGGGGTGGCTGGGCAGCAAGGAGACAAGGAGGCTGTAAAATAAGCTGGCAGAAGATGTAGAGCTAGGCCTAAAGCTATAAAAATACCTGGGTAAGGAAATAAAAAGAAGCCTTACAGGGAGTGGGGAAAGGTACAACAGCCCAGGATCCCACATGACATTTACTCCTAACGAGTGTGTGCTTCCAGTACCTATAGTGTCACCAATCAGAAGTCACAAAGCTGACACAACAAGGGGTCAATGGCAAGCATGTCCATTTTCCACACATTTTTTCGGAGCTCATGAATCTTTAACTGTGAGTTTGAGAGAAATCCATGGGAGCATCTGCACAAGCCCCAGAAATCAGACTTGTTTAAAAACAAGCAACGGTGTTAGACTGCAGCATGCTGAATTTCGTTATGTTACTTTTTGCCAAGAGACCACACAGTAAGGAGGTAAGTACTGCAGCTCCCACATGCCACACCAACTCATGGTGCCATCAGCTGTGAAGTAGCGAGGTACACAGTAGGGGGACACAGACTATAGAAAAAAGTCCAGGAAGGTTTGGAGTGACTGCCTTGTTTCTCGATTTATATGCTTAAGTATATCCTAATCCTTGACAGGACAAGGGGAAACGGCCGGAAACTGCAGCACAGGAAGTTCTGCACAAATGTGCACAAGAACTTCTTTACAGTGAGGTGACGGAGCACTGGAACAGGCTGCCCAGGGAGGTGGTGGAGTCTCCTTCTCTGGAGATGTTCCAGACCTGCCTGGATGCCTACCTGTGCGACCTGCTGTAGGGAACCTGCTTTGGCAGGGGGTTGGACTCGATGATCTCTGGAGGTCCCTTCCAACCCCTACAATTCTGTGTGTGTGATTCTAATGTGATTCTAATAACTGAGAAGGAGGAATAGAAAAAAAAAAAAAGGCTTTCACTTCTTGTTTTCAATGTGTGTGTATATATACATATATATACACACACATTGAAAACATACATATATATATTTTTTTAATGCAAGAAACATGACAATTATTGTGTTTCTAGTACTGCGGATGCACAAGTCTGATGAGATTTTATTCCCCAGGGGAGCTATAGGGGCAGTTTACTTCAGATCTATGCCAGGAGCTACAGCAGTGTCCTGAAGTCAGATGTGTTTTATACATACATCATAACCAAAATGATTTCTGTAAAGTGTGGATGTTTCCCTTCAGTAGCTTTTTGCACATGCAGCAGCACTACAGTTTACAGGTACCCATATTCCCACCTGTTTTTCCCCCAATAAAAGTGGGGGCTAAAATTTTAGGTAAGAACAACCAATGCCTGCAAGTTCTTAGGGTGAAATGCAGTGAGGACTGTATACACTTATCTATTACTGCATGGCTAACCTCAGGTCTATGTGGTCTAACAGAAGATGTTTCCTATACACTAGTTAGGTTTCAGGAAAGAACAAAATGTTCTTCTTTGAAAACAAGAAATAAGCAAGGCCTATGTGCTTAAAACAGTTCCCAAACAATGGGGGCCCTCATCAGCCACTACACCAAGACTGGGAAAGCTCCTAGCAGACATGGTGAAGCAGTTTCCCCTGTACTTGCCACCCTGGACCACAGCACCCACCAATGCCTACAGAGTGAGACTTTGCAGTTTGGCTGTGTCAGTTCTGGAATGAGCATTTCCCTGCTACCCCCAGATTGTGCTGTGCAGAGCATTCTTCCAGCCAGGCAGAAGGCAGTTTATCACAGCACATGGTCTCCTGAACATGAAGACTGCAGATGAGCCTTGTCATTCTTGCTGAACTAAAGCAAAGGGCTGTATTTGAAAACGATAATTAATATAATAAAATTATGAAACACTGCTCTTATGGAAAAACAAATACCTCTTAAATGTGAAACTTCTGCTAAAGCATAAAAAAAAGGATAAAAAATAAAGAACAGCAGAAAAAAGCAAGCTCCCTCACTAAGAAGCTCTGAGCAGTGCTCTCAGTTTTACAGGGAGAAAATTGTTATGAATGTCATTTCCACAGGAACTAACAGGAAGTATGTGTGAACATGGGGCTAGGGGTAAAGGGCTCTTTTACTGTACTGCTGCAGGAAAGTGAAACAACAAGGCTTACAAATCACAACGTTGGGGTTTTTTTTGGAAATTATATTCTTTTTAAAAGGTACTGAAATAAAATCCAGTCTCATATGAAGAATAACAACTCTCCAGGAATCACTACCATGCTTCGGCTCAAGACTAGCCCTTCCACTTCCCTTCTGTTGCTATGGTCCATCATACAGCATACCTGTCCTGATTGGTATCACAAGAATCTCCAACCAGGTCATTGTCAACATCTGACTGCAAAAGAAAACAGAGGTAGTTCCCATATTAGCTGCAGAAAGCATCTATTAAAATGGCAACAATAAAACATAAGTAAATCAAATGCAATTAAAATGAGAGCATGGAAAAACATTTGTTTTGTAAAACCTACTTCCTTCTTTGCATCTTACTTCTTACCAAAAAGTCTGCTTTGTTACAGAAAAAAACAGAATGATGAATAAGCAGATTAAAATTGGATTGGAATAGCTTCCAAAAGAGGTGAAATGCAAGTAAAATTCCTCAGTTTCTAGAGATACATACTGCACGTTTTTAACCTAGGCTGATTCCTTAAGTGAACAAATTTCTCTAAAGTTTCCAGCATAAGTTAGTTACAAAGGGTTTCATCAGAAGTTAAAAGTGTCACACTGACTTCTTACCTACAAGCAATGAAAGTTTTGCTATGTAAGGATTAGGTCCTCATGAAAGAAATACTGACTGTAACTAAATCACACCACTGTGGGAGTCTGGCAGTTGGACTCTGTCAGACTGGGACAGGCTCACATGAAGAGTGGAAAACACTGGTGACAGCGCTAGGGAAGCAATGCTAGCAACATCCAAAGATACAAGAATATGCCTGCTGGTTTTCCTTTTCAATGCTAGGAGCATGTGAATCTCTGCAAAACCCTCCTGAATACCTACTGTCAGAAGAGAAACACCATCTGCATGGGCTGCCTCATTCTCTTAGATCTTTCTGATCTCAGCAGTCCTTCTCCTTAAATGTAAATGTTTATTCCTTCTGCCTGCTAACCTGATTTGGGTTGCTGACTGTAGGACAGCTGTCACAGGCATCACCAACACCATCATTGTCCTTGTCCTCCTGGTCATGGTTGGGGATCCTCTGACAATTATCTAAAAGGTTCTTAATACCTAGAAAAAAGTGAACAGGATATTAGTTTTAAAAAAATCAGCATCAAGAATAGAAAATACATTGCTCCTTTTCAGTAACTACTTAATCCTGCAATGACATTAAAGATCTGCACAGCAAATCTTTTGTGTTTCCATTTATTCAATCACTGTTAGAAACATCTTGCTGAAGAACAGTTTTCAATCCAATCATACATCCCTCATTAGTTACACACACTTCACTGTCTCGTTCCATGTCACATTATAGGATGAAATATTTTATCTTCATTACTACACCTGAAAGACAGTGACTTTTCTTCTTTCAAGACTCCTACAGCAATGGACATAATACATCACATAGCCCATAAGCATTTGACAGAGGCAGCAGCTGTATAATCTAGGGCACATTAGCACCTTTAAGGGGTTACTGAATGACCAATAATCTTAACTTAAACCAAGTTTTGTTCCATGCTTATCTGTTATAAAGTGTTTGGCACTTCAGATGGAGGCTAAAAGACAAATTGATCTAAAAGAAAATTACTTAAAGCAGAGATTTCATGAAAAAGGGCAAAGTGTTACATGACAGGAGCTGTTGACAAAAAGTTGTTATAATACACAATAATTTCTGGGTAAATTTCAAGAATATCAGAGAAGTTGAAAGCAAAGAGTTACCAACCATCTCCATCCATGTCATCATCACAAGCATCTCCTTTCCCATCACCATCTGTGTCCCTCTGGTCATTATTCAGGACACTGCGGCAGTTATCACAGGCATCTCCAAAGATATCTTCATCACTATTTCTCTGGTTAACATTGGGAGTCAAGACACAGTTATCCTGCAAGAGGCACAGATTCAGATCAGATAGAATGGAGCCATGAATCCTGCACTCCCACTTCAGTGAGCCATTTGATATTTTACACAAACATTAGCTCTGGACCAGATTTCACTACCTCTCTCAGGGCTTTGCTGTGTTCTACACACCACAGGAACGCTAAACATGAACACTGAGAACCATAAAGATTTATTCATAACTTTGACAGCTGATTCTCATTTTGGATGGGTCCACATAAGTAACCTGCATCTCAGCAGCATTTGTCAAGGTCTGTAAATGTTCTCAATGAAAGGTGATGGCCCTCTTCATGTACAGATTCAAAATAAAGCTAAAACACTTGGAAAATTACAATCTGAACTTCTGTTCTGATATATTCTAATGTCCCCACACGGAAATCTCTTTCAGAATGTGATCCAAAGCTTTTTCCAGTTACTGGCAAGACATCCACTGTCTACAGGTTTTGTATCTCCCATTAATTGTGCTGTCCTGTCAAATTGCTCTTAAAAAGAAAGTTAGTAATATAAGTAATGTACCTAAAGGTCATGTTAAGGGACAACGAAAGAAGGACATAAGTTGTGTGAATAAAAAGCTGTAGAATTTGATGCTAACACATAATAATGGAGCATATGCAGGTGGGACTTAAGGCTGGTTGGGCAGCCTTAGTTGTTTCTTTTTGTATGTGTTTTTTTTTTTTTAAGGTATTATAAATGGATGTCTTATATTAAAAAAAAAAAAAAAAAGAAAGCGGGATTTAAAAAGCTGCTGACAGTAAACTGTATTGAATATTTGGCAAATAGAACTAGATTCCAAACTGACTGCCTACTGCAGTAATTTGAGATCCTTCTGTCTGCACAGACTCCTGTACCCCAGTGTGTACGGAGTACCTGCTCATTGGGAATGCCATCTCCATCTGCATCTTCATCACAGGCATCTCCAATCCCATCATCATCAGCATCTTCTTGTCCAGAGTTTGGTACAAACCTACAATTGTCCTAAAGAAGAAGAGAGACATGTTAGGTGTACTGTGAGACGAAGTTATTAAAATTATGAAAGTATCTGATTTTCTATTATTCTTTTCATTAAATGAGATAGAATTTATTCTCAGGAGTTCATTAACTTGGAAAAAGATGAATACATATTGTCACACTTCTTATGTTCCTCTTCATCCCCTATGTCTCAGAATTAGTTGAGCATTAAGAAAGAATTTACCTTCCTGCAGCTTTCAGCAGGGCAAGAGAGCTCTTCATTAGGGTAGCCATCAATGTCAACATCTTTTCCACAAATATAACCATCACCAGCCCAGCCAATGCCACACTATCAATAAAACAAAGAAGTACTACCAAAAGATTAATAGATCAATGCAGTAATATCAACTTTGAAAATACTAATATGCAGGAGGCATAAACAGGCATTGTAGTATACTGAAATACACCTTAGCATCTCCCAGTGTGAAAAGAAAAACTGTAATTCAAGCTCTCTCTTTCAGGGAACAGCTAGAATAAGCTAAGGTTTTGTTTTAAATGGACTGTCTGGCTGCAACACTTCATGATTTCAGCAGGAGTTACACATTTCCTACACTAATCAACAGGAGTCAGTTTTGGTTCTTTACCTGCAGTTCGAAAAAAGAAATGCTGCATCAAGGCAGAACATGCACATAGCACCTGAGCAAGGGACCAAGAATCAGCTGGATGTTTTATTCAGTATCTCAAGAATACACCATTGATTAGAGGATATTTTAATAGAAAACTGTTCTGACAGTTACTGAGTTTGCATTGGCATAACAAGTACATCAGTGCACAAGTTCCTCCTAGCCGATGACATAGGTATGATTCAAAGCAAACCCTCACCTGAAACTGAACATAAACACAGATAAATGCATGTGGCCTCTCCTGAAAACAAGGACTTGCCTGTACAAGTATCTAGGTATCTTTCATTACTGCATGGACTTAATACAGCCTCATTTCGTCTTTGAAAAAGATGGCCATATAAAATGAGACCAAAGCAAGCACCAGCAAAAGCATGCACTGCATCCAAATTTAGGGCATGGGATTAGACCCTCCCCTCCCCTTGCAACCTCAAAAAAACTACAAAATACAATTAGACTGGTATAATAAAGAATCATATGCCACTTAGTGCCCTGCTGCTCCCAGGGAAGGAAAGCACAACGCAATCTATACTGTACATAAAATCTGTGATCTCATTTGGAAACCTATCATCTCTATCAGCAGACAAATACAAGCACTGGGGGTATGCTCACAAAATCCCTAGTTATGGCTATGCAGCCAAAAACCCTCCACTCAGTAGTGCACCAAGAGAGAGAATTGCCCTTGGGATGCATTCTGTACATCGACACTTGTGAGTCACAAAGAATCACAGAATTGCAGTCATTAGAAAGGATCTCTGGGGATCACGTAGTCCAACTCCTCTGCTAAAGCAGGTTCCCAGCAGCAGGTTGCAGAGAGTCCTTTCCAAGGAGAATGCAGAAGGTCTATAAAAACCATTCCCAAAAAATCGTAATCACACAAATGTATGCAGCTCATGCAGCAAATATGGCACATGAGTATGGCTGCCTTATAGAAGAGATGCAAGAGGGAAAAAAATTGCAGGATAGTCCCAGTTTGGTAATTTTCATAACTGATCTGGGCCAGTGTGCTGCAGTTTGGATACTCAACTGTAAGGATATAATGACCACAGAGACTTGCTCACTTTCAGCTGTTATTCATTGTACAAATTAATGAATTTATGAACTCACAATACATGTCACCTCTCCTCGCCTTTCCTCAATACACCGGGCATGGACACTGCATGGATTGAGGGCTCGACTTCTGCAGCTTCTCTCAGCCTGGCACCCCTTGATTTGGTCGCCTGTATATCCTGATTTGCACTGGCCACAGCGATAAGAGCCCTGTAAGAACAAAATGTTACTGGCTTGCAGACTTTTTCTTTTTAAAGCAAGCGTGTGAGCAAGACTCATGTCACACTGCTCACGCTGTGCAAATTCATTCACTAAGGCTTCCTGCCCTGTGAACAGATTTTCACACAGAAATCAGGTTTTTCTCCCACACTACAAATTCTAAAATAAGCTGAATTCACACCTGTCAAGATCAGTTTTTTGTTTAGCCAAAGAAAAGTCTTGCAGCAACAACAGGTTCCAGATGATGCATTGTTTCCACCAGTATCACTATAAGCTAATTCCAAGTGGTCAAAACTTTGTGTAAAAATTCTAAGCAGTTTCTATTTATTCAGATTCGAAGCTCTTCTTTCAGTGTAAGGCTGATCTAACTGCTTATCTAAGCTGAATTGGGTACAATAATCACAGAAAATCAAGACAGTTCATCTTGTATTTACTCCATTATTATTTTTTAATTTAGATGCTTTTAAGCCAATATGAGATAAAACATGTTCTTCAGAAAGGAATTCAGGAGTTGAAGCCTCATTTACATTGTTGTAAAACATCCATGCAACCTTTTTCAGTGGTTTACCTAGAAGCACAAATACATTTTTATGAATTGTATTTGTACAACTCTTAGGAAAAAAAAAAACAACACAACACATAGAAGCCAAAGAATCTCAGTTTGTGCTCAGATAATCACAATAAAGGATACAACTCAACTTCCAACTCAACTTTCCAACTCAAGATACTTTTGATTCCAAGAATAATTACTTCTGTCAAAGAAAAGCAGTGGACGGATCTTCAACAAACTCAAGCCTTTGTGAAATTAAGGTGCCCCAGACAAATTCACTCTTCCCACACAAAGGCTACTGGGATGTCCCAGTCCAGCATTACAGAGAGGAATTTACAACTCAACCAGGCAACTTCTGTCTTGTGTTCCTAAATTTGAACTCTGTGCCATCTGCATACTTCAGTCTGAAACATATATAGATGACTGAATCTCTGACACGATCGCATGATCACTGACTATGCAATCAGCATCACTTTCATAAAATGTATCTACATGTTTTCTAATTGACACCATGGTTCAGAATCTGCTAAATTTTCTCAGTATATTCTCTCTCTATCAAGCCCTGGTATGCATTAAGCTCGCCTTCAGGGCAGCTTTTCCAGACCAAATTCTTTTTAAAAGAACACAGGAGCAAAAATCCACATGCTGATGTTTGACAGCTGGTGGGCCTCTTTTTGACCTGTGCTAACCAGACCTGACAGCATCTAGAATAAGGTTAGTCATGCAGTACACGTAACATGCAAGAGGCGCAATCCAGACACCAGAATACCTGTGCATAGAGACAAACTTACTGAGCAGAATGCAGTCCTACAAACACTGTTTGCAGGGAAACACACCACATGGAACACTGCTGGCAGCCTCAACAGTATTTGGTCGCAAAACAGGACCCTGTTTTAACCTGCAGGTTATTTTAAAACTCTTTCCTGTTACTAACAAAGTCTTCTCTATGCAGTCAGGTGTAGCAGAAAAAAAACAACTGACAGTAGCATAAGTGAAGTGAAAGGGCCAAATTGCTTTACAGCACTAAAATGTTTATACACATAGTCTATTTGATCCTAACATATTTCAAACTCTTTCTACTTGTTGGATTTAATATCCACCCGTATTAAATGTGCTTTATTAATTGCAGCTCTCCTTTTCTCCATGATGATATAGAGCAATACCTAATACTATATAAATATCCTTATGAAGTGGAGATTTCCTAAATGAAAGCTTGTTGAGAAAGCTTATTTGCAACAGTTCCTTGTGGGAAAAGATGAAAGGAAGGAAAGATTAAGTTTTTGAAAAGAGGTTCCTTGCCACAACATGCCCGTAAGTACGAGTAACTGGAGGATGTGGAAAGAAGGGTTATTACCAGTCCTCATGGCAAGCGATGCGTATACACACAAATGCCAGATCAAGTATTGATTATTTTGTTTTTATACACAAAAAGGGGCAGAGATTCTTTGGTTTAGATGTAGCCAACAAGCAGAATATATTATTCAGTTCTTCAATGAGAAGCACAAATCCAATTCTAGCCTGAAGGAATTTTAAAACAATCATTTAAAAAAAAAGTCAGAAATGAAAACTGCTTACCATAGTGTTTATGCAATGAGAATTTGGAACACAGATTCCATGCCCACCATTCTGACATTCATCAATGTCTAAGCAGACCTAGCAATAAAACAAAACAACGTAATAAAAAACAGGCCAGCTTGAGACCTAAGTCTGAAGAAAAGCCACAGAAGTTTAAGTCTAGAGAAGTGCCACAGTCTCTTCCTGGAACCACTTCTAGAATGGCAGACATGTCCACTTCCTTAATTTTTAGACAAGTTTCCAAACACTTATAAATTCAGAAAAGATGCTGTGAGATACACAGAATTTCCACGCTATTCCTAACTATTAAACTTTTAATACACTAAAGCAAGAAAATACAATTTTAGATCTTCTAAGGTTATTGTGGAATGACCACAACATAAATAAATACAATACTGATACACAGTTAACATAAGGTATCACCATGCGATGGAAGTTACTGCAAGGATACTGTCTTTCACCTGCTTGTTGTTCTTGGCATAGCTGAGTCCTACTCCTTGCAAAGTTTGTCCTGTATATCCTGGGGGACAGGTCTCACAACGGAAACCTGGAGCAGTATTCACACAACGCACTCCAGGGAAGCAGGGGCTGTAATGACACTGCAAGGGAAAAAGAAAATAGAAAAAAAAAATCAAATGAGCACTTGTTTGTACTTCAGTAATGTCCAGACTCTGACTGTGCACACAGACCTCTCAGTCAACCTGCCCAGGTAATATTAAATGCAAATGTCTGAATGTTCTTCTATGTTCTGTCAAAAAGCTGACTTGCAGAGAAAAGTTTCAGGTATGTTTGACTCCAGCTGGTCTTCAGCTAACTCTGTAATTTAAATGACACAATCTTTCATTCTTTCATTTTTGCCTGTAGTTGGTGCTCTGAGCTCTGATTCTCATTCTTCCTTTTGCTAGGAAGGCTAATCTCCTTTGGAGACAAGAATGTAACTGGAGGGGCTCAGACACTATCAGGAAAGCAGCAAGTTCACAACCCACGAATGGTCTTGAAATTGTGTTTTGTACACACAGAAGCAGCAATGGCATTTTCTTTTGTTTGCATTTGGGCACATCTCATAGTCAGAAGTAAACCAAATACAATGTACAAGCCAGATGAAGAGGCCTGTGGCAGTGGCACCCACACATTTCTAGACCAGAAGCCAACAGGCAACCCTCAGCACTTCTACCAAAATACCACACACTCACAGCCACCAGCCTTAGACTAAAGACATTATTTAGTTCACTGCCTTGTGTGGTTTCACAGAATGGTTTTAATCCATTTCAGTGGCCTTGTGGGTGCCAGTTTAGGAACTACATCCCTGTACTGCTGCCTCTCAAGTATCAACAGTAGCCACTAAGTAGTATCTGTGGAAGTACTGAAAACATTAACACATCATCACACTGCTTATGGCTCAGAGACAGCACATAAGAAACACAGAAAGAATTTTAAAAAACATTTAAAAGAATGTGTCTTTCCACCTTCATAATTAACAAAAAAAAGAATTCTAAAATGAAGGCAGAACATGCCAGAGCACATTCACAAACAGACATGAAACTTGTGCAATTACTGACCAGTAACTGAGCATACAATTCAAAGGAATTATGTCTGCAATTAGCATAGAAAATTATTTAATGTGGATTTTTTATTGTATCCAGGAGAGGGCACTCAAATTACATCATGAACAGAGCAGAGCTGCAGCTCAGAATACAGGCTATGAAAGTAATGTCTTCAAGATGATAAAGAAGGGAGCTTGCTGCAGATATTTTAACAGCCTTTGAAAGAATGACAGTAGCTCTTAAAGAAACCTAGAAGCTTCCTCACTTCTGTAGAATTCTTTAAAGAGCAGCTTCTTAAATGCCAATTTTTATGAAGTACAGAAATAGTTCGTTCAGTAGAAAGCTGAAGAGATTCCCAGAAAACCTTCAAAAATAAATGACTTTACTTACAGCCTCAGCTAATCCAGGAAAACAAGTAATATGACAGAGACCCTTTTATTAGGCAACAAAAGGCTACTGCCATTTATTATCTCTTTTCTCACTCTGCTTACAAAAGTGAAAATCCAGTTGCTACAGGAACTATTTTCTGGTGAACAAAATGCAAAAAACAAGCTGTCATTTGAGTAGCAGTGTCACATGCAGTGTGACATCATTTAGGTAAAATTCCTCACTATTTCTAGTAATCAGTTCTGTCATGCAGAGCGGTGGTACATCATGATTACTCAGGGAAGCCTAGTCACTGGGACATCACACATTGGTCTTGGCTTGTTTTCCCAACAGTGCTATCATGGGTAGAATTGCTCCAAGATTGAAAACAGCAGAGAGGAGCTATGTGTCTGTTTGGGTGCAGCTCAAGAAACTGACCCTTTCCATACTAATAGGCTCCGTGTCACCTGGCCTAAGTATCTCACCATGGCTGCCTGGCATGAAACTCACATCACAGTTGTCTCCAATTCACCTCCTGCATTCACATTTTAGAGCTTTACTGCATATTTACTGTTTGCTGTAGCAAACACATGTGAGGCAAAATAAAGACACAACTACAACTCCAGAATCTGCCACACTCAACCCATTTTCTCTTCCCCGTGTTTTTCTCACAAAGATAAGTTGGGCACAAAGCAGCCTTTCTGCTGATGGTCTTCAGGAGAGAGTAAACCAAACAAGCAATCACAGCACATTTTCTGTTGGCTAGAAAAATGAAAAATGGGAATTGTTCTTGCATCTGACATCATAAGGAAGTACACTGATAGTACTGTGATATCCACAGGCACAATTAATGACCTAATTCTCTTGATTCCCTGGTTTAATACATCCAGGCATTTCTACAGAGGGAGAAAAATAAGAATAAAATCACTAAAGGGTAATGGCAAAAATCATCATACAGAAAAATCATGAAGCAGCATGAAGCTGTAGGTGTTTCAGTTGTTTGAATTAAGTTCTGAGTTAAGTGACAGATTTAAATTAATAAACATTTTGTTTAATCATTTAAGATACTGAAAATCTATTACTTCAGTCCTCAATCCAAGCAAGTTCTGAATTGCTAGCGTATAGCACAAGAAAAAAAAAAACCAGCTTTCATCACAGCCATAAATAAAAAAAAGAAGGAATAATTGTTTATTTGCTGCCATAGATCTTAAAGGTTAGGTTGAAAACACAACTACAGTTAGGAATAAATAGAGGACTTCAGTCTCCAAGGCCAGGTCAGGATCACTACAGCTGAAAGATACAAAGCCCATGTCAACAAGAAGTGTTCTCGCTGCTCTGCACACGTAAGAATTTACTGAATTTTCTGTGGAATAGATTTAACTCCTTTAACTTCCCAGCTCAATAGGGTATTTCAAGCTCTCACACATATGCCTCCATACATTTGCAGCAACAGCAAAACAGGGAGGTAGAATCAAATCAGAATGAATTAATATGCACTATGCAAGCAGTCAGCAAACGCTAGGAACAGCAAGCATCAGCAATCCACTGCTGTACATGAAACAGGTGCTTTTTTTAATTCAGTGAAAATTACTAATTTACCTCATCAATATCAGAGCATATCACTCCATTCCCTGTGAATCCGTCAGGGCATGGGCCGCACTGAATTCCTTCAGCTGTCTCCATGCACCTGACTCCCCTGAAGCAGGAACTTGTTTCACACTTGGGTTTGCTACGCCTAGGAAGCGGAGTTGGAAAATTCACCATTCCCAAACCTATAATGCAAAAAGAAGAGCAGTTTTAGCAATTGAGAGAAACATCAATCATGGCTTTCGGCTGGCAAATGTTCTGAAAAGATCCCCAGGATGCTGCTCAGCTGGGACTTTGCTTTTCTACACACTGCTACCAGCTGTGCTATGGCTGAAGAGATTTCATGCTGGCAACGGCCCAGCAGGGTGTTTCATCCCTAGATGCGGGAAATTAAGACTGCTTTGTTAGGTTCCCATACTGCTCCTGGCTACACGTGGGGGCCCTCCTGCTAGGTCAGTCCCAGTACAGATCTATTGCTGGCCAGGACAGAAAACTGCAAAAGCCAGTGTCCTCATATGACCAAAAAATGCTGAAGGGACTAAAGTTTGAAGGTACAAGGCTCTTTTCTGGGTATTTAGCAGCATTGCTACTTTGTAAGAAAGACAATGCCTTGATTTTATAAAAACATATCTGACAAGTACAGGGAATAAAGAAGCAACAGCTGGTAGCCTATGAATGCACACCTGGACATGTAAGCACACTCAGACAAACAGATACCAGCACTGTGCAAAGGAAAGATTTTCCAAGGCTCTGGCTGGTGTTGACACCCAGTACCAATGTGTGGACGACACCTTCGCATTTGTGCATGATTAAAGACTTTTTCCTCAGCACTAGCGTAGTTTAAACTTGGTTGGAGCTCAACTCAATCTTGTTATTATGGATAGTTTGGAAGAAACAATCAAAAAGACATGGTACCTGTAAGGTCTTTTACTTCACTCACTGAGGCACTATTTTCTGTTTTTATACTGAGCGCATACGAGTCCTGCATTTGTGTAAAAGGGCCATGCTGTAGCATTCGGGAATATATCTCTTTTATTTAGTGAAAAGATGGACGCCTTCTTTTGGATCTTGCTGCTGTTAACCAGTGACAACCTACAGAGAACCAGACTACTTCCAGACAGACTATCTGAGATTTTCCTCAGACTGACAGCTAGTGCAGAATACGATTCCTCAGTTGTTTTCCCACTAAGTCTGATGGTTAGGCATTTGACAGTGTCTCCTTCCCTGAGAACATGTGGTACATCATCATGGCAAAGCAAGAACTGACAGCAATGTTAGGCAGTACTGCTTGTTTACAATGTTTTTATAACCCTATTGAGTATAAAAACTTTTTTTTCATCTGATAAACGGATTATTAGTAAAGCTTTTTCTCTAATGAAAATCTATTTTATATTTGTGATCAACATATCTACGAACTTTGGAAACAGTATTTTCTGAAAGTACTTAGATGCCAAGTAAAACTGATGTTAGTTTCTAAATGAATGTACATCTCATATAGTTTTCTTTTACAAGCAGTGCAGGAATACTCACACTTACCACAAGCTTGGCACTCAGCTATGGTATTTCTCAAAAAAGTTGTTTCCTTGACCTTAAGAATACAGAAAATAAACACTGTTTAGATACAGGTAGTTTGTATCTGGCTGAACCAGCAGAACCATTACAATTCTTCCTAATATGCCACTCAGACAACTCAAAATATACATCATCTTGAAATCAGTTGCTCTTTGTACTCCATAAAGTTAAGAACAGTACTAATGGTAATACTTCAGTTCAGCAGGTTTATGCTCAACAACAGCCATGCGCTTCTAAATCCAGCACTGAGAGCAAGCAGCAACTGGCACAAATTCATGTCCAATTCAGATATACCTGTACCAGGATCAATCAGGTTGTTTCTTCTCACTGTGTCATGCATCTGAGGCAGTGAATTCAATGCAGAAGCTTACTGCTTACACATATTCTCCACTGACCCCACTGAAGTCACAAAGCTTGGGATATTCCACAATAAGGTCCTTATACAGTACCTGTTGTTTGAGAAGGTCTTTCACCTCTCCCAGTATCTGGTTCATTTGCACCATCTGATTCATCAGTTGCCTATTAAAATCACCTGTAGGGAAACAGCAACAGAAGAATACACAATGAATAACATTTTTTCATTTGTCATTATTGTCTCTGAAATGCAAGATGGAAGTATCTTGAAAGCCAAGGAGGCCACATACTGCTGTTGTTTAAGTCCTGTAGCTACGCTTAGAGCAAACACAGTATCTAATTTTAATTGTTACAGAGGGATTTACATGAAAGAGATTCTGCTGGACTGAACTGAACAGTATGCCACAGAAACGACTAGAGAAAGCATGAACACCAGCCTGAGACCAGTAACCCTAAATGAAACCACGCGGTCACTCTGACCAAAACAGCCTTTTTAGTACCTGTGCAGTCACCTGGCTTTTCTTCCAAAAGACTACTCACTGCTCTGTGCACTAGTTCCACAGTCACTTTTTCTTCTAGAGGGGTGCAGAAAACAGCTACTCAATACAACTGAAGGGGAATGTTTGCAATACCTCACTTAGGAAAGGAAGGCAAGGAAGAGGCATGAAGCATCTCTACACGAGATGGGGGGGAGGGAGTGGGTCACATTGCCTAAGTACAGTCCATGTCACCAAAACCAATTCCTGCACACTTTCCAGAGTGAAACCACCCAACATTCAGAGCCAGCTCATCATATAGCTCTATGTACAAAAAGCAGTCACTCTGACCAAAATGGCCATTTTAGTACCCATGCAGTCACCTGGCTTTTCTTCCAAAAGACTACTCAATGCTCTGTGCACTAGTTCCACAGTCACTTTTTCTTCTAGAAGGGTGCAGAAAACAGCTACTCAACAGGCTACAAATTCTCAGACAGTTCTCAAAACAAAAAAATAATTTAAAAAAATCTGAGAATAGATAGATAAAAAGTTCCATCTATAATAAACTATAGGAAAGGAATAGAATTGATCTACAATTTTTACACAGGATTCGTACTTGTTAAACAAAATCAATTTTGACCCAATGCCAGGAAAAAAACAAAAAGTGCGTTTAGAACACTAGTCTGAGTTTGTAGCTCACTTAGAAGCTTTGAGCTTTCTCAAGCCAGCTATTTGTTTACTTCCTCTATTTGCTTCTCAAAGTCTATATGCCAAAACAAATGCAACAAATACCTGCTGATTTGCATTCCAAGCAGGCTGGTTATTTTGATATTATGTCTAACAGCTTCAGGGAGGTTTATCCATGTATTTCTTTGAGAGTATTGTAAGCTTGCACGAAAAATACTTTTCTTAATGTTAACTTCACTGTTTGGTACTTCAGAGCATTTCTCGGTGTTTGCAAACATTCTAGTGCAAATTGTACAATTCCACATATACTACTTTTTCTTCATTTCAGATTTTCTTACAGCAAGTGTAAAGACTCAGGAACAACCTATTCAAGATCCTACCTCTCCGAATGTCCCATTCTTTTCTTATTTTTATCTGGAGAGGAAGCTGGTAAAAGTTAATATTATGAGTATTTCAGAATCCCATAAGAGAACTTAGCATGCAAGCTGTCAGATACTGGAGTTTGTTCTTGTTTTGTTTGTACTGTTTTTAAGCATAAAACAATTCTTGGCATTTGACTGAAATCAACAAAAAATCTCAAGATTTCAGATGTTTCTTTGTTGGTCAATATTTGAATGAAAAAGCAGATCTATTTTTTTTACACTTAAATTTGGCAGACTGTCCACTGTTAAGGTGGACTAAACATGTTATACTGATATGAACTATGTGTCCCACTGGCAAATTTAGATAGCAAAGCATAAACAGGTGAGCAACAGTATTATTTTTTTCCTCCTACATTTAAAGCTAAGTCCTACGGTAAGCCTTACCAGTAGCAGAATGGCTGATGACTCATGGTAAAAACCTGGAGAGGTCATTTAGGGTGCTGCTGGGACACAGCATGTTGTAAAATCTACTGGGGAGTGGCATTTTTCCTGGGAGCAAGCAGGGTAAGCCACAGGTACACATTGAAGGCATATGGTTATCCTGTGTTACTACACAGTCTCTCCCATAACTGCCCTACTTAGGTACTTCCCTAGTACAGCTAGTGTCTACGTCTGTATTTTGAGTCAGTAACAATGTACCGGAATAGCTTTCACAATAGCAGAATTGTAAAATCACAATGTTGGAGAAGACCTCCAAGATCGAGTCCAACCATCCACCTATCACCATTACTTCCCCACTAAACCATGTCTCTTACAACATCTAAAACATGGTTGTCCAACCTTCTGGTTTGCTTGGGTCACACAGAGCAAACAGGAATTGCCTTGGGCCACATATAAAATATATAACAAGTTTAATACATATAAGTAACATTTTAAAAAATGTATTTCTTATTAAAATATAAAAAATAGGGAGCAGCAAAATCATAAAACTAGTGTGATGACCTTGTTTTGAGAAACTGATAATGCGTCAGGCCAGTTCAAAGCCAGTTCAAAAACTCCCACTGAGTTCTCAATGTGTCCATCAGAAATTTTTTGATGAAATAATACCATTCCTGTGCTTCATCCTTGACAGCAGTTGTTCACAGATGTGTGTACTACAAAAAGCAATTACATGAATCCGGAGCGATTGTGAAACGAGGGATGTTCTCTCCCAGTAGGACAGATCTTATTAAAGCTTAGAAAGTAGACATGTTCAAATTTTTTCTTTGAGTTGAATGTCTCACTGCAACTCCATACATTCCATGTGAAAATTCGCAAGTAATGCATTTAAGTCAAATAAAAATAGAATTGCAAATACAAAAAAAAAAAAAGAATTTTTTTGAAATCTTGACACCTGCTCTCAAATTCCTGCATCAAACTGTAAAGCATATTTTTCACTGTTCACAGGACTGTGTTCAGTCAATATATCAAAATGTATGAAATTATTTGCTATAATTTCAGCATGCCGTAATTTAAGTTTCATTTGAAATGCTGTTGTCTGAAACACAGCACAATCAAGGTGATTTTCACCTCAAAGACACATGTTTAACTCAACTAAATGAGTGGTCAAGTCCATCAAAAATGCTATATCTATGAGCCACATTTAATCTTCATGTTCTGGCACACATCCTCCTTTTGATTCCACAAAAGACTTGATTTCCGTTTGCAAATCATAAAGCCTAAATTTTTTGCATTTTACCCCTACTTTGCCATCTTTCTTCAGATAAGTAAATGATGACCCCATAATCAGCAGCCATACTTCTAAGGAACTCTTAGAACAGGGCTTTATGAAATTCAGAGTTTGATGACTTCTTACATGGCATTAACTGAAGTTTTTGCATGTAGATTTTCTTGATGCCTGGTGCGGTGATATTTCATGAAATGTGAGTTACTGGTGTTAACTGCATCATCTTCTACTACTTTTTTTAAGACCCTCCTTTTTAGAATCATCACCAGGGCACCATCTGTAGCCATACCAGATAGGTTGACAAAGGTTAGAGAAGAGTTTTTATTTTATATATTTAATGTTTGCTTTTTTTAATTTATTTTATATATTTATTTTAATGTGTTTTTTTTTTTAAGCCATTTCATACAAATCAACAAATTTAATTATGCCTTTCTATCTCACCCATTTCTTCAGTGACGTTATATTTGTTATCAACACCTCTAATAGATGCAAGCTGTATCTGTAGCATCAGTACTTTGATTTATTATTGAAGTGTAAAACTTCAAATTAGCAGCTTTACTCTCTAAATATTTTTTGATTGCTGTTCCTATTTCTTCAGTCGACCTGGCTATAGACTGGTGAGACAAACAATATTCTAGAAACATCCATTTTTCTTTTCTAATCAGGACACGTTATATCCATCATGCTTACCATACATTTGTTAACAAACCCACCATCAGGAAATGGTTTTGGTTTTTTTTTTGCAATCAGATCTGGTATCACACAACTAGTTTTTAATAACAGAGTCCATTTAACTTTTTTTTTTTAAAAAAAAGTATTTTGTTGAGCCGACAGAATTTTTTCAGTTCCTCTATTTCGTCCTCATGAAACATTCCTTGATATGCATCAAATTTCGCAGCATGTTTCTGCATATAATGTCTTCTAAACAGTAATATTTGAAAACTGACAGTATTTCCTTGCAAATTAAGCATAATGTCATATAAGTCAGCACTGCACCCTCTCCAAAGCCCACGACAGAGCTGCCATCATGATGACTTGGCAGCAGGTGGCACATGCTGCAGTACAAGCTGTGCTGGGCCACATGGGGCCTGTGGGTTGGACACACTAGATCTAAGCATTTTTTGAACACCTCCATGTATGGTGACTCAACCACCTCCCTGAGCAGTCTGTTCCAGCACCTGACCACTCTTTTGGAGGAGATATTTTTCTTAATATCCAGCCTAAACCACTCTGCTGCAACTTGAAGTCATTCCCTCTCATTCTATCACTGTTACATGGAAGAGGCCAACCCCCTTCTCACCACACCCTCCATTCCAGTCATTGTAGACAGCAATGTCCCCTCTGAGCCTGCTGCCTTTCCAGAAGAAACAATCCCAGTTCCCTCAGCCACTCCACATAATACTTGTGCCCCAGATCCCTCATCAACACTTGAATTCAGAGAAGGATTTGAAGAACTATTGTCCACAAGCAACCAAAGGCCCTTATCCATAAGCCTGAGGTTATGGCAGGAACCTATTTGCCCATATTTTCCTTGGATCTTGTATAGGTCCTTGGATCAGTTGGCCAGCTCCATTGCTCAGCTAATCAGATCAGGCAAATTGACACAAACACTTGGTTGTATGATTTCAGAAAACTGAAATGCCTCATACATATTGTGCCGCCTTCTAGCTCTCTTGGGAGCTGATATTGGCTTAAGCACCCCACCACAGACTAATCCAGCAAAATTAGTCCTGAGCCATTGTTCAGAGAGGTTTTGGTTACTAAGCCAAAATTAGAAATCAGCTGTGACTGAGGGATGAGCAGTAGTTGATTTCTTGTCAGTCTGCTACACAAAGAAGATGCATACAGAAGTTACATGCATAACTACAGAGAGGCAGGTTTAAAATAAACAGAAGGAAATATCTCCTAACACATATAATGAACTTCTTGCCAGAAGACAGTGTATTCAAAATCAGTCCAATCCATGGAAGAAAACATCTATCAAGTACAAAGACTCCAAAGCTCTCTTTACTACTGCTAGAGAATTTGTGGAAAACTACACTTCTCTCGCTCATATGCTAATCTGTGTGTTGCCACGCTGTCTTTAACCATAGCCAGGTTTTAAAAAAACTCTTTAATTTGGTGCTACACACCAGTTTTTGTGTATTTATTTATTTAACACTATGCCAAGTTCAGGCACCATATATGAACCAGATGTCCTCCAAAAGTCCATTCTGACATGATTTTTGTGATGCTAATTAAAAATAGCATACTGGTCTCATCTACTAAAAACCAATGCATCTTGCACTTTATTTTCCTACATGCATGGAAAGACCCAAATACATATTTCTCTTTTGCCCAATCATCATATTGTATGACATGTTATACTGCCTAATTGTTTCAGTCTCACATGCTAAGCACTAAGGAATGCTACTGCTATAGTAACGAGCAATGACCAGATGAACAGTCAAAATCATGCAGTTTTTCAGGTCAAAAGCTCTCCTCCAATGGTTTTGATTAATATGAAAACATGTTTTTACCAAAATATATAGGTATTACACACCCATGGAGGAAGTATTCACATTTCTGTTTTTTCTGGCTGAAGGTAAAATTGTGGTTATGTGACATATTGCTCCTGTAGAAGGGACAAAGTGTAAGGCAGCTGAGTTAATATTGCTGTTGGAATGTTTGCATCTATTCCTTCACTGGATTTGACTATAGAGACTTTGAATAAAATTGTGAGGGATTTTTTTCTTTAATATTAGGTTTAATATGGTACTAATTACACTCAAAAGTTATGAACAGTATTTGAGCTCTAGTCCAAATAGCTCAGCCACACTGAAGGCAGACAGAGAGAAACAATACTTCTCTATATTACTACTGATCATACTATTTATAATGAGAAAAAAAAAGTGACAACTGAGAAAGCTTCAAATCTGCAATCTTGGAAATGTTGCTCAGAAAGCACAGAATTTTTCCAGAATAAATCACTGCTTTACCTGTCCTGTGTATTTGTAAATCCCTGTTAATTTGCAGGAAATAATAAAAAAAAAGACCTTTGAAAATAAAGCTGTGGGTTTTTTTTTGTTCAGACATACATGTTGAGGAGCAAGAAAACAGAAGCGTGTGCAACAGGGGATTTATTTAGCTACAAGCCAAAAAAGATTTCATTCCAACTGCAAAGCACCGATTCCTCCATGCACATAAGATAGGCAAGATGCTCTGACACAAACTGTGCATCTAGTCTCCCAGTGACATCAAATGTATTCTAACCTAAAGCAGCAATGCCACAGGGTTAGGACAGAGGACAGGGAAGGATGAGAAAATGAGTTTTTCATGAATTCTATTTCAAGCCTCAAACTCACTTTCACACACCCCCCCCCCCTTGTCACGTATTTACATAAGTACAGTGTGAAGTTCAGTTACCATTCAGCGAGAAAGTAGATTAAGGGACTAGAAAGTTCAGATAGGGCAGTCCAGCCCACATTCGCTGCACTGAGAGATCACGCTTGCCTGTCACATGGGACTGCATCCTGCCAGAGTGCATCCTTGCAGGAATCCCAACAGCCTCTGCCCCCTTTTTTTTTTCTCCCATGTTCCCAGCTCAGGCTTCACAATACATAGCACAGGAAGACGAGGAATTCATCCTGCATCCAATTCCCAGCCCAGCAGATCAACAAAAGTGCCAGATAGCTCGTGGCAGAACTATAATGGCTGGCTTGCATTGTTTCTTCCCAAATAGATGCACAGGCGCTGTAACTGCTCCACCAGCATACCCTGAAGCCTCCTGTGCTCCTCCTCATCCCTCATCCTTACCATGCCCAGGACATTCAGATGGCCAACAAAACCTGACACAAACAGACCACAATAAGAGAAGTATGGTCTTATGAAGTTATGCTGAAAAGCCACTTAATCAGACAGCCTCCTCTCATAGATTAACAGCACTTCGCATTATCACTAATTTGTGTTAACGCAATTATCGTGGTAATTTGTTTGTTTTCTCTCCAAACTGAGATATTTATAAAATATTCACAAGATATTATCGCGGATGCAACTGAGTGAAATAATTATCATTACTTCTCTGTAGAGCTTATTCGCATTTTTACTATTCACCACCACAGTTTTTCTGCACTAGTATCTGAATGAACTGGTTGCTGGCCTTACCAGTGTACTGAGGAGCAGATTCAATCTGTTGAAGAAAACAGTCTTGCAGGTTTCCTGCTTGGGCAAGTGTTCCTCCAGTTACCAGCTTCAGCTCATCCAGTGTATCCTGAAGTGAGAAGAAAAACAGAGAGCTCACGATTTGGCTACAATGGTGGAAGTAACATGAAATATCAGAGAAAGATTAATTTTTGCATGGAGATCTCCGTTTCCTTGGCGTGCAGGGCTCCTATGCTGTCCCTTCAAGACCATCCATCACCATTTGAACTGTAATGAAATCTCAAACTTCTGCCTCACAGATTTTCATATAGTTGTGGTTTTATTTATTTATTTTTCCTCCCTACTATTCCAATTCATGTGATCTGACATACCAGGAGGTTCAGATTTTTTAGTTTATTTTTACATCTTCAGTATACAAAATTATTTTGTTGAACTGAATCCAAATAAACCTTTCCTGTCTCAAACAATTTTACATTCAAATCAGGAAAGCCGGCACCTTAGTGATTCCCAATGTTCAAGTCTGCAATGAAACAAAGCAAGGGTGTAGCCTGGGGGCAGAATGCATTTTCACCTTCTAATGCACATTTCACATTAGGGATGATGGAAGATGGTTGTGGGAGATACTGTTTAGCTTGGACTACTGATACAGAAATGATAGCAGGCTATGACAATCCCTGATTGGGAGAGAGAGAGAGAGGCAGAAAAGCTCTAATTGTAGTCAAACAGATGAAGTTTTGACATTCATCTACCACCACTTGAGTTGCCTCTTCTTTTGTCTTCTCAGTCCATGTGGATCACCATTGAAAGAAAAAAGCACATGCATAAGCCAAGAGCTCTTTTAAAATGGTCATGAAAGGCTGCATCTGTTGTATCGGCCAAGAACTTATAAAAAGTTCAGTCCCCAAGAAGTACTTCACATCAAAAGTGACAGAAACTGTAATTTTATTTTTTTAATAAGCTAAAAATTACATTTGAAATGAATAGCAGATTACTGGGTTCAGCGAAGCTGAGATTTCAGCTGTTCCCTAAGAAACTTGCACTTAAATTTATTTCAAAAGTCTGGATTCAGTAATCCAGAGGATCTCTACTGGTCCTTTTAAGTGCTCAGCCTCCTCCCAGAATTCCTGCTCACCTCTGGTTTCTTCAGGAAGGCGCGCAACTCTACTGCTGCTGATCTCTCCAATAGAGTTGAAAATGCTTTTGGCAGATCCTGAAGAGCACCTACTTGCAGACAGTCCAGATACAACTCTATTGTACAGAATTCCTGCTGTAGGCCACTCAGCCATAAGATGACAGTGTGGGGTTTCCCATCAGCCAGGTGTACGTTGCTAAAAATCACTGAGTTCAACCTCCCATCATTCTTCAGATAGCGAAGTATCACTGGCACAAAATACAGAGAATGACTATCAGAGGGTGACAAATAATCTATGATTGATCAAACAAAATTCTGTGGAAACCTGTAATGGCTCTGGTATTTTTCACTCATGCCAGCTTTGATAAATGCAGAAATAAATGCTAAGAATAAATGGGACGCTGACTTTTAGAACAGAAGCATCAGAACTCCTGTGCAGCTCCTGGTTTGTAAGATAGTACAGAAACATTCCACTGCTTTCTCTAGGCTTTTTTTATAGGCTGAAACAATAAAACACATCACCTGAAACTACATAACATTCTAGAAAAATGGTGATAAAGGTAACAGGTGTAGCTGACAGGTTGCTATTAATGCTCTTGCATGTATGCATCTCATAGACCCAGAAATATCCTGTAGCAGAAACGTACAGCTAGAAAATCAACTTCAGTGATGTTTATTGCACTCAGCAAAGCCATCTGACCATGTATACAAATGCAACATTAAAGCAATGGAAGAAAGTATAATTCTGAGTATGTAATCTGCATTTCAGAGTTTCAGGTCTTGCATTTTGGTCACAACAATCTCAGGCAACCCTACAGCCTTGGAAAGTGGCTGGAAGGCTGCCTCATGGAAAAGGACCTTGGTGTACTGATGGAAAGTCAGCTGAATATGAGCCAGCAGTGTGCCCAGGTGGCCAGGGAGGCCAGTGGCATCCTGGCTTGTATCAGAAATGGTGTGGTGAGCAGGACTAGGAAGTAATCCTGCCCCTGTACTTGGCACTGGTGAGGCCTCACCTTGAGTACTGTGTTCAGTTTTGGGCACCTCGGTACAGCAAAAAACATTGAGGTGCTGGAGTAGGTCCAAGGAAGGGCTACAAGGCTGTTGAAGGGCTTGGAGAATATGTCCTACGAGGAGAGACTGAAGGAACTGGGGATGTTCAGTCTGGGGAAGAAGAGGCTGAGGGGAAACCTTATTGCTCTCTTCAAACACCTGAAAAGAGATCACAGTGAAAGCAGAGATGTTCTCTTCTCACCAGTGACAGGTGAGAGGATGAGAGGAAATGGCCTTAAGCTGGACCAGTGTAAGTTTTGCTTGGATACCAGGAAAAAACTTCTTTACAGAAAGGGTTGTTAAGCAGTGGAATAGGCTCCCCAGGGAGATGGATTGAGTTACCATCCCTGGATGTGTTTAAAAACCATTTGGATGTGGTGCTCAGGGACATGATTTAGTGGAGGGCTGTTAGAGTTAGGATAGTATGGTTAGGATGTCGTTGGACTTGATGATCTTTAAGGTCTTTTCCAACCTGACCAATTCTACAATTCTAAGGAGCCAAGCCACAGACCCTAGGTGCCTTTGCAGCGAAGCACTAGCTCTTCTCAGCATCTGTCTCAAGTCACACAGAGTTGCCACTACTGCATCAAACAAGAGCTTACACATACTTTCACCTACAAGGAATACCTAATTGAAATGAGGACAATTAAAAATTAGGGAGACAGGGGAGCAAAAATGCTTTTATCAACTTCAGAGAGGCTGTGGTCTAACACTGAATTCACTCTATTCAGCTAACAAATTTTCCTATCAACTTTCCAGTACTAATATGCTCTCTGATGCTGTGATATCTCTGCCTGTAGCAGGCATATACCTAGTAACTCAAAGATTCCTCAGAATTTTTCTAATTGCTTAGTCTAGCAATTAAAATAACCCAGTTTTATACCAGCATGAATAGTGCAGAGTACATCTCTGTCTTTTAAGTCTACACTAGCACTAAAGCCTCAGCAGCTGTGATCAATATCAGGAATGTTTTCACTGTTGTCTATGTCAAAATGCTGCCAGTACTGAGATTTCCGCAAAGGTGCATGAGGTCATCAGTAACTTGCTAAAATTTGCTGGCCAGCTCAAAGAACTGGCAAGGTAAGAGTATGTTGCAAGCGTTTTACTTACGTAAATATTATGCATGCTGCATCATAAAATAGCAGGGTCTTCGGATCTAGGACTTGTATTCAGAGTGACCAAATGCAGCATTAAGTTAGAGAAAGGAGGAGGAGATGGCAGCAGGGCTCTGAACAGACCCTGCCAGAATAGTTTCAAGACAAAAAGAAGTCTGGCTTGCATGAAGGATAAAGTATTCCTTCCATAGCCAAAGCCAAATACCCATCTGGTAAACTAGAGTAGGCTCTGAAGGGAGATTTTACTGGATCATTGCCTCTGTACAATTTAACCCATCCAAGACCCTGAATTCATTTTTACTGCTATGTCATCTTACACTGACATTCCTGCGAGTAAGCATCTCATCTGCACTGTTTAAGAAACACTTGATGGAACTACTAATCCTGATAGTAAATAGGGATCACTTCACTGACTAGTTAAATTTTATCAGTTTTATGCATTTACTAATGTTTATTCCAGAAAGGATCTGTTAAAAAATGATAAGCAACCCAGGGACTCTATTTGCAATTTGACTCCAAAAATACACTAGACAAAACAAGTTAAATTGACCAGCAATTCCTTAACTCATGCATGTAACAATCCACTGTGCATCAGTAAGACTACAAAAAGGTGACAGAGTTGAACCATTAACATAAACTCAATAGATACAATGGCAAAATCTCCCTCTCAGTGGCACACTATGTGGATACATCAATCTCGAGCCAAGTAAGACTTCAATATGGACTTTGCAAATCAAATGGAAAAGAAAAAATCTCACATTAAATGCATGCTTTAAAAAACACTTCATATTATATTTACTATCAAGTTTACCACAACAAAAATAAAACATCAGCAAACCATGAGGAATGCAGCTCACAAATAAACATGGCACTGCAGAAGGTAGATAAAAGCTTGGTTTGGGCTACTCAGATGAGACTTTGCCATGCAGAGGTGCACACATGTACCCTCAGTATATTTAGAAGTTATACTTTGATAAGACACCAGTCTTGGTTCACCACTGAAGTGATGATCTCCAGCCTTGAAAAGATCAGAAACAGCTCCCACACTCCGTATTTTCAACTTGCTCGATGATCTCCCAGAAGTGTTTTCATTGACTGTATGAAGTAGCCACAGGGGATACCAAACACTACCCCAGACACTACCAGAGAAATTGCATGTGAAATCACTGTGAAACACTGTTAACTACTCACTCAGGGCCATACATCTCAAACTCGGTGCACTAAAATAACAAGGAAGTGAGGACACCTCTGTGAAACAGACTTGCCTGTCTTTGATCCATCACCCCTTCACCACACATAAGTTACAAGACTCCTGAAACTACCGAAGGTAAACACGGCACTAGTCACCAACAGTACAGATCTCTGTGCGTTGCTCATCTGTATACCACAAGCCTGTCACAGGCACTTCTCAAATACAACACTAGCATACTGAGGACAAAACTAAAAGAAACCACACCAAGTCTGTTAGTTAAAGTACATCAGTAACTGCCAGGAATGTGGATATTCTTGCAAATCAAGAGTGTGATGAGATCAAAATTATTTACACACATGAATACATGCATTAGTATTTCTAGATAACATTTACAGGCATAATTGTGTGTGCATGTGTGAATGGGAGGGACAGAGGAAGTATGCATGATACATCACTTATTTAGCAATTAAGTAATAAGGAACTGTACTACAGTTACTGATGCAACTGTAATACCTCACGCACTCTCAACAGACACATAGCAGAAAAAGCCTTATTCTCTGACCTCAGAAGGATTTTGTAAGACACAACAAAAAACGTCATTGTTTTAACCTACTTCACTGCATTTTCCAAATAAAACCTGTGCTTTTATTCAGCACATAGAATAGTTTTCCTACATCTAAACTTAAATTTTTCAGTAGAGTTTCTCATAGCTAGGCTTAGACAGCTTTCTGACTACAATAGGCAACAGCAAAAAGCAGTGGCAAAGTCAATAACTTACATCACTTGGTAATTTTTCACTGTACAGCAACATTGCGATACATTTTATAAATATGGACATGGTCTCTCTGTTTCTAAAAATGCACCCCAGTTTTTACTCTGATTTCTAATGAACCAGTTTCAATAAATTAAGAGCAAATTAACCAAAAAGTCCTGTAAATGCTAGGAATGTTTGTCCTGCATAGTCACATTTAACCTCCAGGGTTAACAAGAGCGAGCCTTTCATATGCATGAGGTAGCATGTGCGTGTGTCCCTCACATTCCTCAGTAATAAGAACCAGTGATTACCCTTCAGGGGAAGAAGAAAAGAAAGAAAAACAAATTGATTCCCTTTTCTGACTTTTTTCCCCACCCCTCTTCCCAGCTCTGTGATACCAGCTGACTGTGGAGTCTGCTTCCCTGGCTAGGAGAGCGCAGCACCCTGTGAGCTGGACAAAGCAGCAGAGCTGGAGGATGTTGCCAGCATTCTTATCTTGCGAGGTGGCAACATGCAACAAAGAATGACCCAAGCATAAAGGTTAATCACATCATTTTCCAAGTTCTTCTGTGACATACCAATAAGAATGGACCCAGTCCTAGTTTTCCCCTACTTAACACAAACAACTCACCTTTGTTCATCCGTCCCATTACTGTAAACTCAAAATACTGCTTGTCATCAACTGGTGAATATAGGCCAAATACGGTGACTGTGCTCTTTGGCTGCAGTTTGAATGCTGAAAGCAAGAACACTTCATTCAGCATAGGATCCCCAAGTGCTTGTTGCAGGAAGCTTGTTACCTCTCTCTTGTTGGCATAGGAAAGAAGATCAATAACTGAAAAATAAAACAGTTTCAACAGTAGTTTAAATACAATGAGCAGAGAACAATGTACTGTGAAGCCAGTTCATCCATTATTGAAATGTTGGAAAGGCTTCAAGGAGATCTCACTGAAGCCTTCAGTACATAAAGGGAGATTCCAAACAAGACAGAGAGCAAGACTTATTCTGATAGTGACAGGTCAAAGTAGAACAGTTTTAAAGTAAAAGAAGGGAGATTTAGATTAAACGTTTGGAATTTTTTTTCATTCAGAGGGTGGTGAGGCCCTGGCATAGGCTACCCACAGTAGCTGTGGATGCCCCATCCCTGGAGATATTCAGACTTGATGGGGGCCCTGGGCAGCCTGGGCTGGTGGGTGGCAACGCTGCTCACAGCAGAGGTTTGGAACTGGATGATCTTTAAAGTCCTTTCCAACCAAAGCCATTATGCAATTCTATTCTACAATAGTTTATTAAAACAGAAATATTTAGTCTTCAAAATGATGTTCTCAAATACTTTCTGGTAGATCTCTTAAGGTTTTTGTATCTTTTGAGATACACTCCAATATGAAAGCTTTTCCAACTATTCCCTCTTTCATAAATTAAAATCCAGCATCAAAATTTTCAGAGAGATTTCTGGTTTGCTTATCCTAGGAATTATTTTGATTGCATTTGCAGGGCATCAATTAAAGTGCCAAAGAACCAGGTAAGTAATATGATATTCATTACCTCCTTCTCACTTCACTGACATCTCAGATGATATATTATATAAATAAAACTCATTTTCCCCTCTGGCACAGATAACGAAGACAGGTCTGACAAAAAGTAAAAAAACCTAAGGCAGAGTGAAAGCTATTTCCAATTTTTCTTTGTAATTTTTGCATGGTGCAGCAGCAAATGGTTTAAATACTATACTACTAAGTATGCCAGCCCTCTTACGGCCCTAAAACAACAAGCTAGTTTTTCCTCAATGTTTCTAAATCCATGATGTCTGCAAATTCAAACTATTCTACTAAGAAATCTAGTGATCTCCCATTGGAGCCTACTGCTGTCAGAGAAGTATATATATTACAGCCTTTCAGGGAAGACTAATAAACGACTACACACAAGCATTATTTAAATATATAGGCATATATAGCCATTGCACACCACTATCACTCCACAGACAAGGCCATCCTTACGTGACAGTGTTTCCATACACCACTAGGTGAAGGAGACTCAAGAGCAACCATAGCACAATCACACACGTACAAGGCCCTACCCACAGCCACGCAGTAAAGCCTGTTCACTCAAATGACAGCCTAGGCTCATGCTGTTTCCACTGATCATTCTGAAGCATCCACTCATTTGGGCACTGATGTCATTTCCAAAGAGATGCCTTTCCCTTCACCTCTCAAAAGCAATGAAATCTATATCATAGCTCACATCTAAAGCCTCACTGACTCCAACCCTTGTGGCTCTGCTGGCGACTTTGATTACAATATGCAGAAACAATGAGGCACTTGACTTGCATGCATTTGTAATGCTGTTGTCAACAAACATCTGAGATTAACTTGTCAAATTCCCTTTCTTTCACAGTTCAGACTTACAAGCATCTTAGGACAACCGCTGCTGCCACTGAAACCAGCAATGGCAAAAGGCTGAGTATTTTATCAGTTTTGATCTACACAAAGCAAAGCATCTGGTCAAGCAAAAAAATGAAATGTAACTCATGGATCTATACAACAATATTTGGAGGTAATAACTATTCTTAAAATACAACTGGATCACTGGAATACAGTACTGAGGTCTCTTACAGTGAAAAACCACGTTTTTTTTCCAGTCCTAGGTCTGCTTGCTGACTTCATATCAAACACCAAACTATTGCTAAAACAACTATTAACTATGACAAAATTTCTGCCTAACCTGATGGAAAAATTATTGGATCTCTTTAAATTTGTATTTATAAGTGAATACTCAAATTGGTTTGTTTAATATTTGCATTCCACAATCCTTTAGCAGCGCACTACTGAACTCTCTCTTGAAGTACCTTCACAAATGCATGTGTCAGAATCCATCCCATCATGTCAACTACATATGTGTCAGCAGAAGTGCACAGAAAATCAGTGACGCTGTGAAAATTCATTCTCCATCCTTAGGAGAGCTGGCAAGTACTCTTAGACTTTACAGAGACAACTTCTTGTTTGAGTGGGACATGAAAGAAAGATCTATAAGGATTTCAGATTTCATTTTTAAGGAGAATCACATATTTTCATTCCACTCCTAGAAAAGAGAGACTTGAAAACAAACTAATAGGACAGGACTGCCAAAGCTGGAAGGCACAAAAGCATCTGGTTTCAATAAGTGCACTAGGAGGGAAGACTTGGGCATGCCTGTAAGCACAAGTGCATGCGTGCATTCCCACCAAGCTGAAATGAGCCCACTTGCAGCACAGCCCAGGAGTCTTCTCCCTTCTGCTTTCCCTGATTCGTTCTTTTGCTGTTTGAAGGGACTTGCTCAACCTCCCATGAAGAAGGCATATGATAAATAGCAGCAATCCACTCTTTGTAGATAGGTCCTAAAACTTCAATACTTAAGTTAGGAACTAAAATATATAACAGAAAGCCTTAAGGAGGGGTGACATTAAATCAATTACAGAAGAGAGAAGAGCGCACAAGACAAAAGATTTCCTCCTTATTTCTGCTGACACAGTACACCAGCTTTCAGAACCCTTCCAAGGTTCCTCACCAGTCACAAATATCCATAGCCATATATATGAAAACAGCACTACTGCTCGACGCTTCCCAAGATGGTTGATGACACTCTGGTCACTGGGAGTGAAGCCCAGACTTCTGATTTTGAAGTGCAGGAATATCAGAGGATGTGAGCGGGGTCCTTCCCTGGCTGCTGCCTCCACTAAGCTAGAAGTCTGCCTTTTGTTGAACTTTTTTCTGCCTTTTTTTTTTCTTAAACAACACTATTCTCAGAAATACTTTCAATCAAGAAGGACTTTAACAGAGAAAACACAACCAAATTAACTTCTCTTGTAGACCTTCTTCACATGCCAAAGAACAGCTGATTAAAACGTCAAACACCATTCCGCAGGACAATGGAAGCTTAAGTCACCCGAGAAGCAGGGCGACAGCTTTACACCTCCCAGAGCAGCACGAGTGTTAGAGCTACACGCAGCTGCCGAGCGGTGCTCTAAAACAAAGCAGGTGCTGGCTCACTGCGTCCATAACGCTGCCGTCCAGAAGCAACCTTTTTTCCTACTCGAGTCCTACTTCACGCAGTGGAGTTTTCTCGACGAGTTTCTATAGCTCAGCACTTTACCTCTCACTTATGAGAGTGCATCTTGCAGTGCAAAGCACTCTTCGGATGTTCACGGTCCCCACAGAACCAGGCTGCTTTCTGACGACGTTAGCGGGCGAAGAATTCGGCGGAGGGATCAGCGAAGCCGCGACCCCGAGGGGACAAAGCGGAGCCGGAGGCGGCAGGGCAGCGCTGCCCGCTCCGCTCCTCCTGCTGCGGGCAGCCGCCCCGACTTTTCTGCTCAGGGCAGCCCCATCCCAAACCCGCCACCACCTCTATGAAAAATGATGGAAAAAGAGGAAAGCTCGCTAAAGCGGAGAGGGGCGGCGCAGGGCCCTTACCTCGAGGCGCGGGCGGCGCAGCACGGCCCGGGCAGAGCTGCAGGGCAAGGGGCAGCAGCAGCAGGGCGGCGCCGCGCTCGCACCCCATGGCGGCCGTGGGCCGGGCAGCGCGAGAAGACGGCGCGCCACTCCGCTCTGCTCCGGGCCCGCGTTTAACGGGGGCTGCTCCGCGTCCGGGGAGGGACGGGGCCGGCGGCAGGCCATTGGCCCGGGGGCTGGCGGGGGCTGAGCCGGGGCAGGGCGCAGCTGTCTGAGGTGGCACAGGTGGCTGCCGTGCGGGGACGTGGTCTTTCTTCGAACTTAGCTGCACCGGTTTTTTGTAGCTAATGAATGCCGTTGAAAGCTGTCGTGCGGACTGCAGTGCAGAGCAAACCAGGTTTCACTGAATCGTGGAATCGTTAAAGCTGGAAAAGATGCTTCAGATCATCTAGTCCACCTGCTGACCCGCTCTCACCATGCCCCCTGAATCATGTCCCTCAGTGCCACATCCACACGTTTCTTGACCTTCACCACCTTTTTGGGCAGCCTGTTCCAATAGCTAACCACTCTTTCTAAGAAGTTTTCTCTAATATCCAATCCGAACCCCTCCTGATGCACCTTGAAGTCATTCCCTCTTGCTCTATCACTGTCACCTGGGAGGACAATGCCCACCTCACCCCAACTCTCTTCAGTCATTGTAGAGTGCAGTAAAGTTTCCCCTGAGCCTCCTCTTCTTGAGACTGAGCAGTCTGGTTCCCTCAGCCACTCCTCGTAAGACTTCTGTTTCTAGAAGCCTTATGTGAGGAACATGGAGTCTGGCATCTACCATTTCTCTTAGAGTTCATTGGGGATATTGAGAGAGCTCAAACCAACAGACCTGGGGTTATTAGAAAAGGTTGCTTGTGTTAACAAACCCTTAGGCCTCAGGACTTGAAATCAAGTTCAGTTAAAAACAAACAACAATAACAACAAAACCCCAGCACTTTAGCTCTCAACTACGTTTAATTATTTAATTATTCAATTTTCTGTCCTAGAAGGTCCTAGAGTGTCAGCTCTGCTGACACTGAGGAAGAAAGACACAAACAAGTGAACCCTCTGAGGTTGTGCTGCCAGTCTGCTCTGTGTCCTTTGGAAGCCACCCTCAAAGCAGTGCCCCTCTGCACCTTGCTTACCAGGGACCCGCTGACTGCTGGGTGCTTCTCCCACCAGGGGCTTGCAGCATGCGACAGGCTCCCAACCTGCTGCCCTCCCCTCCTCATCCTGTGTCTCTCCACTCACTCCAGCCCACAGACAAACCTCTGCCACATCAGAAGCAGTTCAGGGAGCTGTGGCTGCTCCCCTGCCAGCTTGCAGCCCAGTGCACAGCTGGAATAGCTGGAGATGTCTGATATCATTTACATCATAAAAACAGGAGCAACAATAGCAGGAAAAATTTATGTTAAATGAGCAAAGTGGTGTTGATTAATGTTTAGCACATCAGGCATGGCATACAACTAATGAGGAGGACCACCTGTGTGCAGGGCAAGACACAACATGCTGCAGGACTGAGGCTGCCAGCATACAGGGAAGGGGAGGGTGGGCTGGAACAGCCTGTGGCTGCACAGGGTGCAGGCATGGTCTCATCTCCAACGTGGCTGCAATGGGATTCCCAAATACCTTCTGATGGCCTGTAGTTGCTTGCTCCCGAGATACTCTCCCACACGGTACATCCTCCATACCACAGAACACCCATACTTGTCTGTATGTGTGTTGACCCATCCTTCAGTTGCACATCTTTCTTTGCCTATTTGGAGGCTGCAGAGTGCTTCCTTTATATTGAATGTATCCCAGCACAGTGTTCTTCCTCACTGTGCTACACTTCCATGTATGTTTCTACACAACACAAAATGCCTCACTTTCACTCCCACCACCCCTGCTCATGTGGTGGAAGTGAGAAAGCGGCACAGTGATACCAATGGGCTGGCAGAGTGCTGCACCACAGAGAAAGGAAAACAGAGCAGTGGGTTTAGAGCATTACAAACCAGTTAGAAAGGTGAGGCTGAAAGGAAGATAGCAGGAAGCAAAGATGTGAAACAAAGAAAAAGAAAACCAAAGCCACAGGTATCCTAGGAGTTTAAGTTTCAGCCCAGAACCTGTCCCTAAGAATAACGGTGACAGCAGGTTATTAGCAGAGGCTAATGCCTGGATGTACAGCAGCACTGGTACTGCTCTATAATCAGTTAGCACAAAGGAGAAACTCTTTCATCACCAAAGAGCATTCTTTGACAACATAAGCATGACAGTATGCCCGCCTCCCCTTCTTGTTCCCCAGATTGCTCCTGGGCCTGGTCTTGCACACAGGAGGACAGGAGCAACAGTACTAATAATGCTCTTGTTAAGACAGATTAACAACTACAAATCTGTCTCAAATTTGGGAGGCTAAAATAACTGATAGCAGAGACTTGGTTCAACAGCTGAAGGCCAACTGAGCATGAACCAAAGAACAAATTATGACTATGACTCAACCATCTTGCCCCATAAATAACATGCAGTCTATAGCCCCTGTAGCTCACCTACTTGGTAGTGGATTGTAGTCAAGATTTCCCTTTAAGTAGAGAAGCCTTAACAGGTTACACCTGTGCAGAGATAGACCCCTTACACTTTGACATTAAGATACTTTGTTGATAGAGATCCTCAGAAAGTGATTAATTGTAAAGCTTTTTTAGCTTCTCTAAGACTGTATTTTAGATTTGTTGTGCACATATGATTTCTTAGCCATAAACTGGCAACCACGTCTCGGTGTGGATCCACCTTGGCTCCTTATCTCTGTGGTTCAAGTTCAGAAAGCAAATGAGTCTGCTCTGAGCCTTCAGGCTCACAAGAAATATCGTATATGAATGTGTTTAACCCTACCCTCTATGCAGTGTATCCGACCACCTCCAATCTTCTTAAGTTGCAGTTAGATTGCTACATTATATTTTGCTTATATAATGCTGCTTCTCTTTCATGAATGAACTGTATAGTGTAGTTTTTTCCAGCCATGATATTAGGTTTAAGTGCCTAACACAAAAACATCGTGAAGATCTGCAAAATCATCACAGCTTCATGTAAAGTATTCAGTTACTACTGCAGATAAAAAAGAAAATCTCATTAGATGGAAAAGTTTTGTGTTTGCCTATCTGGAGGAATGCTAACAATTATTTGCATCCATGTATGTAATTTCTTTGAGTTTATCAAAATGTAAGAAATATTTTCTCAGAAATTTCCTTTTAATAAACTATTTAATAAACCATTTTGACTTGTTTTTCACTTCTAAGTTACTTACAGTGAAGTCTTGCGGACTGGTAGTAATCAACTCAATGTGAGGAAGATCTCGTTCATGGCATTTTATTCTCCTTGCTATTTGACGTTTGAGTGCCAAATTCTGTTCTTCCTCTGCCTGCTCATTCGTTGAGCTTATTCACCATGCATGTTAGAACAAAATTTGGGAAAAAGAGCACAATAAAATGAAACAGAACAAGTTCACAAAATACATAAGCAGAAGTTTATGATAATGTTTAAGTTAGCCAGTATGCACAAATGCTACTGCAATTTTTCAAGTTTTCATTTTTGCTACAGACTGGAAGAGATTTTGTGCTCAAGCAAAACCTTCTTTAAGGGATTTTTACAAAGCATAGTGTTTATCTGCTGTCTGGATGGGACTATTTGACCTTGTAACCATCTGTTTGACCTTGTAACCATCATGTTCAATAACAACAACAGAATAATAGCCATTTCTTTTTCACTCTTGTGTTTTCTCTGACGTACAAACTCCAGCTTAACTTACTGAAGGTTGGCACCTTGAATACAAATCAGAAAGTGGTTATTAGGCATTATGTTTTCAAGAAACGTTCAGGAAACTTCAGTAAGGAATTTCTTTTTCACAGGAACGCAAGATTAACTTTTTTTAATAGAAGATACGCAAGTAAACTCCAACTGCTAAAATATTTGTTCTGCTTATTTTATGTAAACCAATGTAGATGTAGATGTAGAAAATATAGAGTCGCTGCCAATTTGATAGATTTTGCTTTGCAGAAGTCTTCATGGCCTGTGCAGATTCCAAGTAATGTGACCAAGGAGTTAGGAAGGAATCCCTGCTGCTTAATTTAGGTTTCATATTTTGTTCCTAATATCCACGAGGAGACTCACTGTTTTTATGGAGTTTTATGGATGATTAAAAACTGAGGTGCATGTAAAACCCATAATGAGAAGCCAAACAAAAAAGCCTTAATGCAAGTGAAATCTCAGTGAAGTACAACTCTAAACCACATCCTTCTGTACTTCTGTCAACATTTAGGAGTTTGATCCTGCCACATTTTCATTGCAAGGGTGTGTAGAAAGAATGTAAGGTTTCAAACACAGATTTCAGAGCAAGTTTTGCCTTTTCAGAAGTCACAAACTGAAGCTCCATTTTTTCAAGTCAAAGCATACATCCATTCTCAGAGCACGTATTTACATTTCATTGATAGAAACAGAAATTCCACTCAGGCAACCGAGAGGAAAATCTAATGGAAAGTCTCTGGATGAGGTAGGGAAGATGTTTATTGCCCTTTCCATCTTTGCTCTGGGCATCATAATGGTACAGAGATGAACTAGGCCCAAGGCAGAGCAAGGAAGGTCTAAGCCTTCTTGCAGTCTGTCATAAGGAGAGTGCTAAGCTGGTTTATCCTCCATACAGAAATGGTTGTTTGTGACACAACTTTCATTCAGATTTGAAACCATAGATCTGATGATGCAGGGAGGAAGAAACCTGGAGAGCCCTTGCTCTCCTCATTTTTGTGTGCTGTAGACCTGAATAGCAGACTGGTATCTTAAGACGTCCTCAGTAAAAACACACACTGCACGAGCTCATAATTAGTTGGTCACAAATGGTATCACACAATCAGATGTGCATATTTTTGAAGGCAAATTGCTGACGGCTTTTCGAAAGTCATCGTTTTCGCTCCTGTGGAAAGCCGTGACTTCGGGCAACACAACCAGCCCCGCGGAGCCGGGGTTCAACCACGCAGTATTCCAAACAGTAAATTTTTCACGGCTGGCAGGGTGATGGCCTCCTGCAACCGGGGCCGGGAACGGCGCGTGAGGGAGGAAGCCTCTAAACCAGGGACGGCCAGCGGTCCCTTTCCCCGAGGAGCTCCAGCCG